CTCTCCTATCTCAGACACATATTTTGTCATGACAGCTACAATATACTGCAATACATCTTTTTTTTTTAATTTTTAAATTTTATTTTCAAATATACTGCAATACATCATTGAAAGGAAGATTGAAGGTAAGTGGGGAAAAGGTAAAAGTTGGATTTCTTGCATGAGTAACGCGAGACACTTAATAAATAAAGGTAAATGGGGAAAAGGTAAAAGTTGGATTTCTTTCATGAGTAACGCGAGACACTTAATAAATAACAAATCCACATGGCGGGAGAAGGAGATAAGTCAGGATGCCAGCTAACTTCAGCAGTTCGTACAGTACACTGAATGAGAGTCACCACATTCCTGTGTTGGAAAAAGAATACTGAGTTAAAGGGCTTGGCTGGATTTTGAGGCATCCAGCCAGTTGCAACATTTGCATTACTTCCATTCCATGTACAGAAAAGCAGACTGGAGTCTTTGCTCACCTATACTCCAACAGTGACATGGGGCAGTGATGGCTAGTGCCTGTTGCAGTTGGTGGGGCAGAAAGCACAGCAGCCAATGGTGGGAAAAGGAAGGAGCCAATGTGCATGTTCACATGTATAGAAAAGCAAGCATGCAAGCCAGTAAGCAATTGTTCATACAGAGGACATTGGTAAGGAAGCCGATGAGAATGGAGTAGCTGGGGGACAGCCTGTGCCTGAGGTAGAGCAATGCCCATGTTTCCCAAACCGATGAGCCAGCTCTTGGATGATGTCTTCCAGCACACTGGAGGGCAACATATCTGCTTAGGGCAGAAGAGTGGTGAATGGTCACAGCTCTCTGCTAACAAACTGACCCCCCCTTATTTTTTCTCGAATTCTTGCAACACAAGTGCTATTAATTATGTAGCTGCACTGTTTTGTATCCTATTTATTGCACATTTCGGTTGTGTTATGTATTGCATTATTTATTTAGCTCTGGTATTTGTCTGTAATAATAATGTTTAAGTATATAAACCCAAAATGTGGGGTTCCTCAGCCAAAAAAAAAAAAAAACCCAACCAAACCCAACCAAAATGAATTTCCACTGACTCACTGATTTTGAAGAAGATACAGTCCACAGCACTCTTTAATCTTTTAAAGCTGGAAGTCGACTTGCTTGTTTAATTGTCTCCGCATTTTCAGTTGTTTGTGTGGCATTTGGAAGATACTGCTGGCAGAAAACTGGTCCTTGGATTCACCAAAATTGTCCACCCCTAATTTAGGAGACAGCTAAGTGGTTCACAAGTTCTGCTCTGTGAGAGAGGGGAAAAGCCAAGGGGCTCCCTTTCAGGGTCTGCCACCAAATGGCTGCACTTTGTCTTAACAGCGGCATAGTGCTTAAACTGGAGTAGGGCAGTGAAGACTCTGCTCATGAGCTGAGTTCACTCCCAGACTCAGGTAGCCGGCTCGAGGTTGACTCAACCTTCCATCCTTCTGAGATTAGAAAACTGAGTACAGTACCTGGATCACTGAGGGGTGGGGGCAGTGTGTATCCTGCCTGACTAAAATTGTAAACCACCCAGAGAGTGCTTTAAGCACTGTGAGGCAGTACATAAGCAGTTTGCTTTGCTTGGGCTCGGGCTCTGCTTTGGCTATAAATCAGATAAAACACTGGAGCTGGCCAGATCTTGAAGTTACGTACTTACACAAGCCCATCAGGGTGGTTAAAGTATGACTGTAATGTATACTGTAAGGGAAATGTTGAGTGTACTTTGTTCCGTAGATATTTTGAATGCATTTCATCACAAAACTTAAGAGTTGAAGCACTGCAAAATAGCCAAACCAGTTAGGCCCTATTAAATACTGTACAATTGCACTGAGCTAAGCAGTTACTCATGGTTAGAATAGACACACTGAGCTCACAGGTAAGTTATGAGGTACTCAACTTGCATTGATTTCAATGAGTCTACTCTACACATAATGGAATCTGGATTACACCTTCTGTCTCAAGCTGTTATATATAATTATATATACCATGTGACCAACAGCATAAGCGTTTTCTCTTAGTTACTATAGAGTGATTCAAAATGCAGGAAAAAGTCAATAGTTTTGTATATTTTAAAGACTATTTTAAAGCCACACAGTTATATTTATTCTACCCAGTATTTAAACTTCCTCTCCATCCCTCCTTTTCAATTCTTCTCTCCATCTTTATAACTTGATTTGTAGATCAAGCCTAGCTGGTTGTTAATTGGCTGTATGTACAGTACGTTGCTCCGTGGTGGGGTTTTATTTTGCAAAGGAACAGACTAAAATAAATTTAACAATAAATCAGATAAAACAAATTATGTGATTTTAGAGTGAGCAGAAAAAGCAAGCAAGCAAGCAAGCAGATTCCTTAAACTTAGTGCATAAGGATACCTTGTGGTATACTGGATTAACATTAAGATTTTGCTTAGATACACAGTGCTGGTGCAAGCTCCCCCAAGGATGTCAATTTTAGAGCCATGTTAGTTTGTGCTAGCATCTCAAGCAAAAACAAAAGAAAAATGACAAAGAAGACAAAGTGTTGCGGCATCTTAAACAAAATGTCATTCCCACATGGCAAAGTCTGAAAGTGGGGGAAGAGAAAGAAGATAGCAATGGTAGCAGCATATTATTTCCTTAAAATTGCTGCCTGCCCACCTCTAGTACGGCTGCTTCTTGATTTGGTGAGACATCCCATATTTGTGTACAGTATCTGATTTTTCCTGCTTGAGTGTAGAATTTACATTTATCCTGTTAAGAGCCACTTTCTCTTAGCTAAATTCTCCAACCCTACATTTGTCTTTTTAGGTAACGTCTATTCCTCCCAGTTTACTGTTTCATGAAAATTTGACTAGCCTCCTCCAAATCTTCTTCCAATGTATAACGATGCTGGATGACACCCTGCAGCACACCACTTGTCACTTTTCTTCAAGATAACAAGAAACCATTGGGTAGCACTCTTTTCTTACTCTCTGTCAACCATGGGAGTTCTTCAAATGCTGAAATCAAGAAATATTAAATCCAAAGCATTCTCATGATCTATCAAGCTTGTAACTCATAAAAAGGGTATGAAAGTAAGATATACAGTATCTGCATGATGTTTTGAGAAAGAAACATTTGTAGTAACTACAGCATTCTGTCCTAAACTCTTACATAATATTAATGGTCTGTTCTACAAGCTTCTTGGTATTAGTGTTAAGCTAATGAGCTAGTGTTATTATGGCTGCATGGTAGTGCAACTATATCATTGTGCAGCAGGACAAATCAACATTCTACAAGGCAGTTATAAGAATAGGTGGTGTCCCCCCTCCCATTATAACTTTGAAACTGAACTTTAGATCAGCACCAAATATGGCACAAATGTAGCAATCTGCTCTTGGTATTTGACACATTTGGGAAGGTTTGGGCAAAGGACTTTGGGGTTGTGTGTGGTTTTTTTTTTTAATTTACACACATACTGTGCAGTAAGAATCCTTGCACTCACTACCATTCACTTGTCAAAAAACAGCCCTCACAATTGCTTTGTGGTTGGGTGAGAAGTGGTTAACTGATGAAAAAATGAATCAGCTTCTGGGATTTTCCCTTGCTTGGTCTCACTTTGTGAATGATAGTGATCATAAGAACGTATCCTCTTGTGTTGTGTATATTCAGGCTGCTCTTTGCTATGTGAAGCTTGACATTCTTTTTCCTGCTGGCAATATGGACATGATTTGTGCAGCAACACTGGGCCATTTCCTGGCATTTTGAATCATGGATGCAGAAACACAATGTCCCACATTCATAAAACAGAATTTTTTTGAAGAACCAAATTAATATTCTTGTTGGAAAAACATGTTCAGTTAAATGTCAGAATAGTCACAGCAGACACATTGGTTGCACAATTTGTATTCTCTTTGTTCAAAAGATACACTGGAAAGCAAATGTATTTGTGATCACCATTTTCCATACTGCTCATATATAGATCAGGAGCATTTTGTCACTGAGGATATATGGGAGAAACAGTGTGAGATGATCACTAGATTATAGCTCAACAAGATCAAAAGGAGTAAAATTACATGAAAACAGCTCGAAAAAAATTCAGTTGTGCAGTCTTCAAGAGATTTTTTTTTTCTTGGACAGACAATAAAATAAGGTCTCACAAAGGCAACAGGCCAAACTGGTAGGAGATGCGCACAAACAGAGCCACATATAACCCAGTCGGACAGGTAAACCTTTGTGTTTGTGGTTTCAACAGACATAAATATGTAATTCTGAAATATTTCTTTTCTTACTCTAATAGTTTTTAAAATTGCAATTTGACAAGTTTGAGATAAATCTGATGGGAATTGTTAATACAGTTTTGTAAAGAGCCTGAAAATACTGTAAGTGTTTGTAAGGATCTATGTTAAGAAAGAATGAAAAATAATGATTTAAACAGCTATGTAGATACAAGATGCATATAGTAAGGCTTGTATCAGCTGTGAGAGAAACCAAGGGTTGGTTGAAGCTGGAATAAAGCCAGCAGCCTCAACACACACAATCTGCTGGTGTGGTGGTGACGTTGTGGATCGTGGAAAAGAAGTGCTGCTGGACTGATTTACAAGGACATTGACTACAGAACTGATTTATGGACTGAACTCTGTGTATGATCATTGGACTGGATAAGGACAAAGCTGTATGTATATATCTTGATACAATATAACTGTTCTATCAATATTTGTCTCCTTTGCTTGGTGACTCATTGAGCATCTTCATCTCTCTGGAAATCTACTCGTTAGTGCCTCCTGGCACGCTACCAACTCTGTCACAATTTAAAAAACAATGTGAAGCAACACTTTCTATCCTTTACATCTGACTGAATGTTATAAATCTGTATTGGTATAGAACAAGTGAGGACAGAACAAAGAATTGGTCACAAAAAGCTAGGAAAAATGAACTGGGTGAATAGATCCAACTTGTGGCATATAACAGCATCTTAGTACTTTTGCTGTAACATTAAATGTTCTAGTAAAAATACTTCCGCTTCATTAAATGCAAGATACAACAACATATGTTATAGTACAAGCTTTATTTTTACATAAAGAACTTAAGAGCTATTTTCTTTCCAAACCAAGGAAAAGAAAAGGTCCCAGAAAGTGTTCCAACCCATTCTCGCTCCAGTGCATTCAGTCAAAGTCCATAGATTGAGATCGGCTTTGCTTTATAGCCGAGCGGATTTTTTTTTGCCTGAGACGCTCACGGTTCATTTTCTCCACTCTAAAACCAAACAGAAATAAAAAATGACACACTTCAATGTCTTTAAAATGATTCTGGGTTGTTGGGGGGGGGGAATCACACCTACTGACATGAAATTAACGTTTCAAAGAAACAACAAGATGCTGGCCTGTCCAAGCATGCCTACTCCAAAAAGTTTAAGGAGAAATCATCATCATTATCTTAGAGCTAAAAGTGACCTATGGATCACTGAATTAGCCCCTATCAAGGAGGCACAGTGGAAAATCAAACTCCAAACCTCTGGTTCCACAGCCCGATACCTAAACCGCTGATCTATCCAGCAGATCTCTACTGTACTTTATGGTCTGGAAAAGTTATCTTTCAAAATGATAAAAATACAACATTCCTACCAATTGGCCTAGTCCAACATTCATACATATATATGCTTTACTCCCAGAGGCCCCTAGCAGTAAGGACTGCTCTGAGTTGATCCATGCACATAAAGCCATAGGCTGATATACTTTGCTCCTATTAAAATGAACAAAGATGGCACAGCAGGAGAGACAACTATATTTAACAGGCAGGGATTTAATAAAAGGACATAGCATCAACAGAATATGTATGTGCAGCATGCAGTAAATCACAGCATGTGTCGAAGTGGAATTTATTATGGTATTTGCCTTGGAGGGAAATCTTCCATTAGTGTCTTGGAAGGGAGGCGATTCTCCCAGGACAATTACCATCATCTGAGGAGATATTTTCTCAAGTTTGCAGAAAGTGAGAAAGATGTTAATCCCCTTGGTGCACTTATGATTGCCCTTTCCCCAGATTATGCTCTTTTCCTTTTTTAAAGAACTCTACATTTTAAACATAAAAGCTCATTTAAGGGCACATCACTTTTTGAAAAGATATTTTGAGCAATATTTGATACAGGAACTATACTGTTGTGTCTACTCTCAGCCGAAGAGGAGCTATTTCTCTTCACACAAGTCAATGGAGAACATCTTAGGCGATTGGCAACCATGTATCTGGCACATGGGGAAGGACAAATAAAGGTATACAGTGGTGCCTCACTTTACGATTGCTCCGTTTAACGACAAAACCGCATTATGACAAACTTTTTGCGATTGCTTTATGATGTTTCCTATGGGGGAATTTTGCTTTGCGATGATCAGTTCCCTGCTTTGGGAACCGATTCTTCGCAAAACGATGATTTTTGGACAGCTGATCGGCGGTTTCAAAATGGCTGCCGGGTAAACAAATTTTTCTGGGACGGCTTCCTCACTGCACAAGCAACGAAAATGGCTGCCCTATGGAGGATCTTCGCTGGACGGTGAGTTTCCAGCCCATCGGAACACATTAAACGGGTCTTAATGCGTTTATATGGGATTTTTAATTTTGCTTTACAAAGTTTTTGTTCTACAGCGATTTCGCTGGAACGAATTAACGTTGTAATGCGAGGCACGACTGTAATCCATTTTTGCTTTTTGGATTATACTTCAACTGCATACAAAACTCAGAGATCATTCTGGGACAAATATCGTCAAGACTAGGGTTGAGTTTTTTACAGCCAGAGGACATGGCTCCTCTGGCTGTAGGCATTTGGAGGAAGCCCTGGTTTAAGTCTGCAGACTCTCTCTAGGTTCATCAGTATCTGAACTGTTGGGAACTTCCTAGGGGATCCAAAGTGTGATGCTTCAAACCAGCAAACACTACCTGTGGATCTGCAGCTGGAGTTAGATTAATTAACAAGAAAAGAGACTCTTCTAAACAATAGTGTCAAAATAAACTAAATTCAAGTTAGCTGAGAGCCTTGTCCAAGGATGGGGACTTGAGTCATGGGACTCACTGTCAACTTGGACTTAAGTCAAACTGGTGACTTGACTCTTTTTTTAAAAAAAAATGACTTGGACTTAACTCGGAATCCACCTCTCCCTTTTTTCCTGGGGAAAAGAGTTTGTTTTTAATAGGGGTGCAGACTTCGGGCTTGGGACTCAGGATGCAGTACCAAAGACTTGGGACTCAGGCTTCAGAGTTGGACCCAAAGACTTGCCAACATGCCCAGCTTTTCCTAAACTAGCTATTACGATGATTTAGTGATACAGCTGGAGGCAAGCAGCTCCTGTGCTTGCTAATGATCTCCATAGGTACTTCCCCCCCCCCTTGAATCTAAATGAGCATCATAGGATGACAAGTTTTGGCATGGGCTTTTGACCACAGGTGCACATATGACGATGAAATTTTAACTGAATGGTGAATCTGTATACCTTTCTCTGATAACCTGCACGTTCTCTCGGGAGACAACCTGAGGCTTCTCTGTGGCTTCTGCAATCAGGTCTCTGATTTTTTGCAGGCAGTCTGCCAAATTCCTCATCTGGTAGCGACTTACTTGAGATGTGACTATGAGCTCCCCATCTTTACTGATTTTATTCCTATGCTGGGAAAGAAAACATTTTTACTATGGAACTTCAGATACAGTGCTTCCTACCATGGTAATGTATGCTTTGTTTTTAAATGACAGTCAAGAAGAAAAGACACAATTGCCACAACAACCACAGATCTGACCATCTCCTCTGAAAGCAAATGTCTTATAGCACAAACCTATGCACATTACTTGGAATTTCAGTGGGGCTTATTCCCAGAAAAGTGCACATAGGATTGCAATTTTAAATGAAAAGCTTGATGTTTACATAACACAATCATTCAATAAATCTTGCTATGTATTTTATCAGCACTAGGATCTGATAGATGCCCCTTGTTGGGATATAGAATCAAGTGTTCTATAACTGGGACACCAGCTGTTCTGCACCTCTGGTCTCCACACCAGGGATTCTATTAAGGAACACAATGCTTGTGGGGAAACAAGATCCAAATGTCGTAACAGAACAAGTCATTGCATTTAATTTTTTTTTACTATGAAGAGTTAATAGACCCCTCAGGGTTCCATTTGTTTGTGCAAAGCAAGTCTGGAGAACATGTTGCCCTCCAGATGTTCCTGGGTTACAACTTCTATTAATCTGGCCACTTTGTATGGTCACAGAGGAAAATGGGAGTTCTATCTCTTATAAGACCATCAGGACTCTCTACCTTTGATACTGGGCAATCATGTTGCACAGTAAAAAAAAATGAAGTAAGATTACTGCTGACTGCTTTGCCTATTAAAATATTACAGAAATAATGTGAAATATTTGAGTCACAAGCTTAGCAGTTTGCACTGGCTTTCTTCATTGGAGAATTTTGATTTGCAGTTTACAAGGAAGTGGATAAAGACGACAAAAGAGACAATCTTGAACTCTCCATGATGTCAGGCCTAGGAAAAATGTTACTACTCTGGTGGCAAAAAGGACACATTACCTTATCCAATGCATGCTGAGCCTGGGAGTGAAGAAACACATAGAAAATACAGAATATTCTACTGAAATGGTTCCCAAACTAAAAAGATTCAGGAGGCATGAAAAAAATTGTGGGGAGGCGGAATGATATTTTGATTAATTTAAAAACAAATCAGCTTGAATAATTTTCTGTGAGATATATCATTTCTAAAATTTAAGCTTTCTCAAGAAAAAAATTTGATTATTTAAATCTCAATATTTATTCACTTTTTGAGTTTTGTTAGAAAGGTCTGGATGATGAAGAGTTGTGAAGGTATGAGATATTTTCAAAAATGAAATGGGATTTGATGCCCAAAGGTTTCGGAACCACTCTCTTATAGTCTCTCTGTCAGAGATCTAACAATACAGAATTGCATTTGATATCCAGGACCAACTACAGTTATGTGTATTTTTGCATGATGTTCTACCAGAGCCTACACTGAACCTTAGAGAAAACTACTTTCCTGTACACTCAGAAATATATACAGTTAATTTATACTACCTTTTGAAGTGTAGCAAAACGCAAACTTACCATCACTGCCATTTTCTGCCGTGTATCTTCTGCAATCCAATCTGCTGATGTCAAATGGAATCGAACTTCTGCCTTACTATTCACTGTGTGTGAAACAGTGAAATAATTTACTATACTTCAAAGAGTTTCAAGTCTCATCAAAGCTACAGCTTTGGAAGTCCAATTGTCTAATTTCAGTACTACAAGCCACTAACTGGCCTTGTTATCCTCTAACTTTGCAGGCTATTTCTTTTTCAGAAACATCTCTAAGCATGCCAAATAGTGTAGCAGATTCCTCTCTTCACCAGCTCAATCTGATAAATATCCAAGGAGGTTAAAATCCAAGGTTAGCCATATCTCTATAATCACAGGCTGGGGGGGGGCATTAAATTATTATACTTTATTTTAAGAGGTTTAGTACCATAGCAAAGCTTAGTTTAATATGGGAACCAGTACAGTCTACTGGTTAGAACTTTGGACTGTGATTGTATTTTCTGCTGAACCATAAAACACATTTGGGCTGGTTGCTCTCCCTCAGTTCAATCTACCTCACAAGGCTGCTGTGAAGAGAAAGTGGGGAAGACTGCCAAGTATGCCACTTCAAGCTCACTCACGAAAAGGTGGAATACAAACGTAACTAATAAATAAAATAAAATATCTTGGTATTAACATTATATTTACCAAGCTAATTTGACATTAAATAAAACAAACATTAATAGAAGACTAACTAGATGAGGGGAAAAACAGCTTTGCCCTTCTTTCCACAGTGGCTAAACCTACAACACATAGACTATCTGTGTTTTAATTTTAGGAGACCAAGTATTAACCACATATATTGGGCAAACTCCTGTTGACATAACTTTCTGCGGCGTAACTCAGAGCATGTGCTGGAAGCATTTACTTTAAAGTAATTAAAAGCTTCCTAGCCTGTATTAGGTTATGAGGCGACCTTGAGCAACCCTTTGTCTTGGGAAAGTATTTTGGAGTTGTAGGGGGCTTTAACAGTAAAGAAATTACTGCTGGATTACCACTAGCAGTCTGGATCCTGACACTAATGATGTAGCTAGAATTGTTTACTATTAAAGACTCCCAATCACTGCATCCCAATCACTTTCCCAGGGCAAAAGGAAGCTCTAGGGACCTGCGGAAACTAAAAGGAGGCATGCAACAGGATTACTGAACAGTACAATGTTCAGTTGGCCTTATTTCATTTAAACAGAAGTTAACTCCACTGAGTTAAGAGAATCTTGCTACCAAGAAAGCATGGGATTTATTTACAGCTTTGGTAACATTCATACCTTTATTAACATTCTGGCCACCTGGACCACTGCTTCGGCAATAGGATATAGACAAACGATCTGGAAATCCAAAAGAGAAAAAGCAGCATTAATACAAAAACTAACACAATTATTGAAAACATATTTGTTCATGTTTTTGCATATGTAGGGAGAACATTTAAAAGAGCAAGTACAAATTTTATGTAGTGCTTAGAAGACCATATCTCAGATAACTACCATCCTGAAGTAATAAGGCAACTCTCATGAGGAACACTCTGACTATAGTGTGGAGTTCCAGCCCTCTCATAAAAATATCTTGAGAATCTTGAGAATAAAAATATCTTGAGAATAAAAATATCTTGAGAATCCCCTGGACTGCAAGGAGAACAAACCTATCAGTTCTAAAGGAAATCAACCCTGAGTGCTCACTGGAACGACAGATCCTGAAGCTGAGGCTCCAGTACTTTGGCCATCTAATGAGAAGAAAAGACTCCCTGGAAAAGACCCTGATGTTGGGAAAGTGTGATGGCAAGAGGAGAAGGGGACGACCGAGGATGAGATGGCTGGACAGTGTCTGCGAAGCAACCAACATGAACCTGACACAACTCCGGGAGGCAGTAGAAGACAGGAGGGCCTGGCGTGCTCTGGTCCATGGGGTCACGAAGAGTCGGACACGACTAAACGACTAAACACACACACACATAAAAATATCACCAGAAGCCCATTCATATACAGTACCAAAATAATATTCTTTTAAAAACATATGCACTAGTAGCATACACAACTGTTTTATAGGGCTTACCTTTTCAACCTTATGCCAGAAAAAAACACTGTAATATACGTTTGGTGAGTTGGGTCAAGGACATCAATTAAGCTTTCTGATTATGCTGGAATGTGAACTAATGTCTGTTTTCTAAATCCAGCTCTAATGAGCGCACTGCACTGCCTAATTCAGAGCAGCAGTTAGCATATAAATGATGAAAAGACTTAAACATACTGTTTTAAAAACTGCAAACATTAATATATTTGATTTGCATAATATGAAAAATCATATTGACTTACATAATAAGGATACCAAAAACAAATACAACTGCCTAGTAATTATTTATGTTATATCCAAACTAGACTGCCAAAGTGGAGATCTGGAACATGTTCATTCTAGATCACTGGTTTCCAACCTTGGGTCCACCAAACATTCTTGGGAGTGCAACTCCCAGGAGCCTTCACCACTTGCTGTGCTGGCAAGGGTTTCTGGAAGTTGCAATCCAAGAACAGCCTAAGGTGGCTTAGTGTCAATCAGTTCTCAATCATCTGGGTCATTTAGATCTGTGCCCAGAGTCTGCACAGGACTGCACATTTTCAGGCAAAAAATTGTAAGGACAAGTCCAAGGAAATCACTCTGAACATGGGAGAGGCATTGTCTTATGTTCTGGACTCACCCACTGGGATATCAGGAATAGTCTGGTTTGCCTGCTCCTGTAACACAGAGAAGCACAAGAGTTGAGTGCTGCAAACAAGCGCTACTGCAAAAATTCTGTAATAAAATCAGAAAATTAAGAAATAACCATAGCCTAGGAGGTGTCTTCAAATAGTAAGGTCAATGATGGGGGTCTCTTTGTGTCACGTGTTAAATATATACTGGTCTTCACCAAAGGTCAGTCTTCTTGCAATGTGCCTTCACATCGTTGCCAGCCTTATGTTCCAACGATTTCTATGTGGAGCTAGTGTATTGCTAAATCTTCAGAAATACACATGAATATACTTTCCATACAAAAATATACTCACTGAGAGCAGCAACTGGTTGTTGTTTTTCGCTTGGTGGGGAAGGGGTACCCATACCACAGACAAAATGTTAGTTTTTTTCCATTGTTTTCTGCCGGCAGTTCTCAATGCCACCTCGAGAAGTGAGGGGGAAAAGCCTACTCTAACCGGACATGTAGGAGATACCTGATCCCACCTGGAATACTTTTGCGCGCTCTCCCCATAAACCCTCCCCGGCCTCATCTTCAGATTCTAACCTTCGATTTGTCGGTTTCATTTTGTTGCGACGGGTAAAGTTTGTCCAAGCTATATGAGCTCCGGAATTCAGAACCAGACGGAACGAAAGCGAAGGTTTGGCGCGGAAAGTTCCCAATTGTCTGTGAAGAAACTAATCGGTACACCGGCCTCCGTGAAAAGGACCACAACGCGCACGCCGCCATCTTGAGATGCCCTGGTTGCTTGCTTTAAGGAGTCCGGCCGCAAAACAGCATCCTGGCATCAACGTTCCGGGCGTAAAGACGGTTCCCCTCTGGCGGAGGAGGAGGAGCATGGTTCAGAAAAGAGGAGCTGGCGTGGAGCGCCCTCGGGTGTAATACCATGGATCATTTTTACAGAAAGACAAGAGTTGCTGTTGTTTCTAATTAACTCTGACCTCAGTTTGAAATAATAGGTGTGGCGAAATAATTCAACACGACTTAAACTGAACGTGTTTTTCTGATCTTTTTGTGGGTATCCGTTGTTATTTCAAGGGACCTGCATATACAGTATAGATGTTGCAGAGGCTGAAGGCCAATCGGTTATGGATGTTTGTTCGGAAATAATAAATCCCATTGTATTGAAGGGTGTTTACTTCCACTTAGGAATAGGAAACCTTCCGAACTCAAAAAACGACGGAACCAACCGTGTGGGCCTTTTTACACGACACAAATGTAGAAGAGATGATGCCTTTATTTAGACTACTAAAAAATAAAAGAAAAAAAATCAGCACAAGCTTTTGTGAATAAATACACCTCTTCAGGCATAGTGCAGAAGAATTTTAAATGAATGTCCCCAAAATTGTCATGACAGATGTCTACCAAGCTTATTTTGTAGATGAGCTCAGAGCTGGTTTCAACCAGTTAAGTGTGTAGTGCTTATTTGATTTATTTGAAATGTGCTGGGGAAGAGTTTTGAACATACTTGAGCATGAGAAAAACAAACAAGTGGGTCCTAGAGCAAATCTCTGCAGGCAAAAATGTTGAAGCTGAGGCTGCCCTATTTTTCAGCACACTATGAGAAGGCAGGATTCTCTGGAAAAGACAATAATGCTGGGAAAGCCTGAAGGCAGCAGGAAAAGAGGAAGACTAAATATGAGATGGACTGAGTCTCTAAAAGAAGCCACAGGTGTGAGTCTACAAGAGCTAAGCAGGGCTGTTGAGGACAGGACATTTAAAAGCCATTTATTCATAGGGTTGCCATAAATTGGAGGCATTTGGACAGCACGTAACAACAGCAGTGCTTATTTTGGGGACTGGGTAAAAGCCCGGTCCTTTGACCAAACTCCGGGAGACAGCGGAAGGCGAGGTGTGCTCTGGTCCATGGGGTCAGAAAGAGAGGTGTGCTCTGGTCCATGGGATCAGAAAGAGTTGGACACGACTTAATGACTAAACAACGATAAAAGCCAGGTCCATGAAAAAGAAAGCAGATGCTCATTAGTTCATATCATTTTTACATTAAATTATTGATTGATTGATTGATTGATACATTAAATTATTTATTTATTTATTGATTTGATTTGATTTGATTTATACCCCGCCTATCTGGTCTACTCGACCACTCTAGGCGGCTTCCAGTATAGGATAAAACAATAAAACACAAGAACATTACATAATCATTTGATACAGTTACAATAAAATCGAGTGAGAATAAAATAAGACGAAACACAAGACCACCAAAATCCTATCTGTGCCCACAAACTAAACTATAAAAATTATGGATTCTTCTCTGCATGGTGGTGTGATGGTGCAAAAACATGACTCTGGGGCACAGATCCTAAAGATTTCATATGATTTTTGTATAGGATCCTCTCCAAACCAGTGTGAAATCATTGATCCCAATTGTGTCCTCAGACTAAACTATAGAAACCATAGGCCCTTTGCTGCATGGCTTTGCACTGGCTCAAAAACATGCATCTGTGGTGCAAATCCTGTGGGCCAACATGATTTGTGCATGATCTGATAGTTTGTGGATCCTCCCCAAACTATCACATCATGGATCTCATCTGTACCTACATGTTAATTCATAGAAATTACAGGAGCCTTCACTACACAACTTTGCAGCGGCACCAACACATGGATCCAAAGCACACATGCTCATGTGTCTGTGTGATTTTTGCATGGATTCCCCCAAACCATAGTTAAATCATAGACCCTATAGATCCCTGTGCGTACAGATTACACCATAAAAATCATGGAACCCTTGCTGCTTGACTTTGCCATAGGGCAAAAACATGGATCCAAGGCACAGATTCTCATGAATCCACTTGATTTTGATATGAGATTTAACCAAACCACTGTTAGATAATATATCTAATCTGGACCCACAGACTAAATGACAACAGTCATTGCAGTGACACAAAAACGGCACAGATCCCCATTCAGCACATAATTTTTACTGGTAACTTCCCTAAACCAGTCAAATCACAGGTCCTATCCATGCCCACACACTGAACCACAGAAATTGCAGATCCCTTGCCACATTGTATTTCAGTGGTGTAAAACATTTAATCTGAAGCATAGCTCCAAGGTGTGGATCCTCATGGTTCAATGTGAATTTTGCATGAGAGATTCCACTTGTGCTTAGAGGCGGAACCATAAAAATCATGGATTCCTCACTGCATGATGATATCATGGTGCAAAAACTTGGATTTGAGATGCAGATCCCTATGCATGGATCTCCATGAGTTTTTCATGAGGTTCTCCCAAAGCATAGATCCCATCCATACCTACAGAAGAACAAAAATAAGAGATTCTTCACTGCATTACATTGCAATTACATAACTACATGGATGTGAGGTGTGGCTTTTCACAGATCTGCATTTTTAGTTGGAATCCTTCCCAAACTACTATCAAATCACAGACTGAACTCTACTCACTGACCAAATCACAATTGTAGCAGTAGCTCCATGTGGAGTCTGTGTGCTGCAATGAAATACATGGTTTGATGGTAGTTTCAGGATCTTGTGTTAAAATTGCACTGAGCTATAACAATCTGGACCTCAGAAACAAAATTCTGTGCCATGACATTGTCTTGAAGCAAGGGATCGATGATTCTTATGCTCCAGTTTATGTGTGCTTGGGATGAGCTATAAAAATAATGGATCCCTCATAAGCAGGGGGCAAACACTGCAAAAACCAACCAAATAAGCCAGCCATTAGGTACAGATCCTCATACCTCTATAGGATTTTGATGTGGCATCTACTGGAACATAATTAAGCAGATATTGCCTGTACAGTACAGTACCTGGAAACTGCAGTATAAAAATAAAGGATCACTGCATGCACAGGTAAAAGGCAGCAGGAAAAGAGGAAGACGAAACACAAGTTTAAGAGCAGTGATGTTTGAGGACCTAACCGTTTAGAATTTATTTATTTATTTATTTAACTTCTGTACTTCTGGCTATCAAGGCCACTCTGGGAGGTTCACAACACAATAAAACATCTTAAAAAAACATTAAACATAATAATTATACAAAACCAAAGTTAGACATACCAATCGAGATAACGCAAAAAGACAACATCAAAATAGCTAAAATTAATTTGAAAGCGCTCATTCATGGGGTTGCCATAAGTCGGAAGCAGTTTGACGGCAGGTAACAACGTGTGTCCGAGAGAAAAGGAGAGTGCTGTTCAACGTACTGCATTAAAACTCACACATCACTAAACATATATTCGTATAATTGTGTTTATATTTGTTTCTGTGCCCATCTATTCATCGTTTTAATTGCTCTTTGTTATTATTTCAATAAAATAAATAATTTCCATTTTTTTTTTAATGGGAGTATTTTTATTGGGGTCGGCTGGCTTGTGGTGTTCTCTTGAGAGGGAGCGCAGGAATTGTGCGATGCTCCCTGCTTGCTGCTCTGCCTTCCACCTAACTGACGCGCCCTGGTTGCCCTGGGCAACGACGACGGGCCGCAGAAGCCACAAGTCCGTTGCAGGAAGTAAGCCACGCAGGCATTCCGGCCAGGACCCGCCTCTAGGGGACGGTGAGCGGTGGGCACGTGACCGGTCCGGGGACAGTGGCCCCGCCCTACGTCATCACCTGCAGCTAAGGCCTCCCCCCCACCCCACTCCCCAATGCACCTGGTAGCATCTTTCCTGTGTTAGAGATTGGGTACCTAGCCTTCCTCCCTTCGGGCTCCTGGGGACCTCCCCCCCCCCACCTTGACCAGGCTGACATAACCAGGCTGCTGCCTCTGAATATTTCTGGGACTTCCTCCCGTAAGGCTGGTGTAAGGATCTCAGCCGACCCACTCATATATATTCCGTCCATGGAAGCTGATCCTGCCTCGCTTGGCATCTAAAAGGGTCCTTCCCTTCTTCCTTCCACTGCCATGACGATCTGTCGTTAGCAGCTGCTGAAAGATAGCAGGGACGAATCTGGGCCTGTTGTCCTGGGCTTCACCTGAGTATTGTAGGTCCACTGAATGCATCCTCCTGTCGTTCTTTAACAATCCTAGTTCTGGATCAGGTGACTCAAATTCTTCTGCCAAGTTTTTCAGAAACCCCCATTGTTTCTCACCACCACCCAACCTTCCCTGTTGATTCCTTACTCTATTCAGGCTCCCTCTGTATTTTTAGGCTTCTCTGTAGGCATTGTTTGTGACATTACCTGTGCTTGAGAATCCTTTAATGGATTGCTTCCAATGAAGGCAGTAGTGGGGTCCTACATTGGCTTAGGTGTGTTAAAAAACTACAACACGGTTCCCTTTCACTGTCACTGCATTGAACTCTTTGATGAACTAAGTAGAGATCCTTATGCTCATTCATTTTTCATTATCTTAGGTCACTGCCATGTAGGTTTTTGGTGTCACTTTTATGAGGTCACAGCTGGATTCCAGAAGTGCCCTGGATTCTTAGAATACTGTCCCTTCAACCGGCACACTCTTTGTCAGATCCAGTCACCTTGTAGGGCAAGGAAAAACTGGTGACCTCTCCTATTCCCTGCCTCTCACCATCACGGCCCTTCCAAAGCAAGACCAAAGGAAATTTGCTTGTGCCCCACTGGGTCCTGTTCTCCCTTGCACAACACTGCCTCAAGCGTCTCATGTCCTTGAGACTTCTCTGGTGGAATTATTTGGGATTCTATTTCTCCCTGGAAAGCTCATCACTTGTCCTCTCAAGATCGTAGGCTGAGAATTAGCCTGTTGTCTTGTTATGTACACAGGTATTCTGTACTGCTAATAGGGAACAGGAGTGATCCCTTTTGGTGTCCTCATACTGCCAAAAAACCAAGCTGCTCTGCGTATCAGTTGTCCTCACAGTAGCTGCTGCTGCCCCCATTTTTCTGCCACCTTGTTCTTGACACCCAGCTGAAGCAAGCAGAGGCCCTATCTTCTGCTGGAAATCTTCCCTTAGACTTGTTTTTCCCGCACCCTCCCTGCTGCCCAATTCTCCACATTTTGAACATGGCCTCAGAAGCAGTGAAGGTGATTGTACGCTGCCGCCCTCTCAATGAGCGTGAAAAACAGCTTGGCTGCAAGGTGGTGGTCAGTGTGGACAGTGCCCGTAGCCAGTGCTCAATTCAGAATCCTGCTGCCACAGATGACCCACCCAAGCAGTTCACCTTTGATGGGGCCTATTACATGAACCAGAATACAGAAGATATCTACAATGAAATTGCCTACCCACTGATAGAGGTGAGTGGAACTGACTTCAGGTATTATAAATGCCACAGCAATTGGGGCACTTCCACAAGTGACTAACGACAAGGAGCCACAGCAATTGGGGAAGTACCTATTTAGGGCACTTCCACAAGTGACTAACGACAAGGAGATTATTTAACCACTGAATTCAAAATCAACAAGGGCTCTGGTCTAATGTCTATAATAGTACCAGGGAATGTTGAAGTGTTTAAGACAGAGTTGGATAATCTTTGACCCTGCAGCTGTTTGGATTTAGTGTGCAATTGGATAGCACTTTATCCCATGGTTTGGACCATTTTGGGAATGGGCTGGTTCACTCGATTTATTGGTGACATGATAGTAGTCATGAAGCAGCCCAACCGTTACCCATGCCTACCTACAGCTTTTTGGGTCCCTGACAGAGGCTACCATTTTTTTAGTGCAGGTAGAATTGCTCCATCTTGATTCAGTTCTAGCATTTGTGATCGCCAGGATCAAACCAAAATAGATCCCCAGTGCTATCTATCAATAAAGTAAAAAAAAAAAATTAAAGTTAAAAAGAAAATCCAGCTACCCACAGAGAGGGAGACAGAAGAGGACAGGGAGGGGGATCTTTTATTTGTTGTTGTTTGGTTGTTAAAAGACAAGTGGTATATCACATGGTGATAATGGCAAGCTGATTCACTGGCATATCACTTACTAATCCCCCCCAGCTTTCCTAAACTCTTTCACAGGGATATGGAAGGAAATCTTTATTTCCTCCCCCAGCCCTTTTATTGTAGCACTGTATCACTTGGTGGCAAGCAAGTTCACCAGCATGCCATTGACCTGTACATTCTTAAAAATTGCAGCTTTGCACCCTGCTGATGGGGTGACAGGAGAGGAGGTGGTGGTGGTGGTGCTGCTGAAGGGGGTACTTAGAGGTATGGTGTGGTTTCCTGTGAATGCAAGGATTGCCCCAAATAGCATCCTGTGTCTCAGGGTGACCCAGTTTAGTCCAATCCAGCCTGATCCATCTGGACTATCTAGTCACACCCTCAAATTCCAGAGTGTCCCAGTCAATATTGGCAATAGAAAAGCTTATGGGAATTGCAGCTCAGCACCTCTGTAGGGCCAAAGGTTGCCCATCCCTTGCTTTCCCTCTGGCTCCTTTGATGCTCAGCCTGTATGTATGTAAATAAACACAAACAGTATTAAAAATCCGTGGCTTCCTATTATCTTCTTCCATGAGAAATAAATCCCAGGTAAGCACTGCACCCCTGAAGCATCACATCATTTGGGGAACTGCATGCAGAACATTTGTTTTAATGAAATGTACAAGTAGATCTTAATTGAAATTGCTGGACCTTTCAGTCAGGTTGCTTGTGGTTAGATTGTTGACAGAATCCTTTAGGATAAGGAGACTCCACCTGATAGCTGCTGAGCTGAAAACATATATATAACAATTGTTATCATTGTACTGATCCTTTTGTTTATTTCATAGGGTATTACTGAAGGCTACAATGGTACTATCTTTGCCTATGGGCAGACAGGCAGTGGGAAATCTTTTACCATGCAAGGAGTTGTGGATCCATCTTCCCAGAAGGGCATTATTCCCAGAGCCTTTGAACACTTATTTGAGAGTGTGCAGGTACACAACTGATGGAAAATCGGCTATGTGTTCTAAGCAATGACATCAAGCATTAAAATGAAATAAACATTCAAGTGGGCTGAAAGACAGTTTGAAATCTTCAGTGAAATTGGGGTTTTTCCTCCTGGTAATGGGGTATAATAGACAGTTTTAGGCTGACAGCTTATTTCTTGTAGGTGGAGCTCTCTCTTTTTTATAGGGAAACTGAATAACATAAGAAAATCAGCCAAAAAGGTACGTGGTCTTTGAATTCTTTATACACATAAGGTTGCTATCTCTCTGCATCTTAGCTGTGCATAACATCTTTACTGATTAAGATAATTTTCAAAACTGTTCTTCATCATTGTGGATGGACAACATATAATTTATCACTTTAACAATGGTAAAGATGCAGAATATAGTACTACTCTTCCAAATTAATTGAGAAGAGCGTAAATACATTTCCACTAACATACAGAAGTAAAAACCAGTGGATTTCTGTAGGGCAGTAGCTACAATAACATGGTATTGTTCACAGCATATATAGCATGCCCAAGAGCTTTTCATGGGGCATTGTTAACAAGACAGATCTTACCTTTGCTATAATCTGTGACAACAGTGAGGGAAAGGAGCAAAATATTTGATTTAATTGTGTCAAGATGATGTGTAGCACACTGAGCTGATCATGAGATAAAGTGAAACAAGGTAACTTGGGTGCCACTAAAAGTGGCAGAGGAGAACTGATTTACTAATGGAGGGCACAGTTCCTCAAGAAGTTCTTCAGTAGCATGTTTTTATGGAACTCTTACCAATTCTATGCTTCAGTTCTGTTTTGACTCATGTTAGTTCATAGGAGGGGATCTCTTTACATTACTATTACATATGGTATGTATCCCACTCTTTATTGAAGAATCTCAGCTAGAGGGAGATTTTCTTGATTTTCACATCAGCGCTGTGACACAGATGAACCAGGCTAAATGTTAAAGACTAGTTCAGCATATTTATGAATGCTGAACTAGTATTTAACGTTTAGCCTGGTTCATCTGTGTCACAGCGCTGATGTGAAAATCAAGAAAATCTCCCTCTAGCTGAGATTCTTCAATAAAGAGTGGGATACATACCATATGTAATAGTAATGTAAAGAGATCCCCTCCTATGAACTAACATGAGTCAAAACAGAACTGAAGCATAGAATTGGTAAGAGTTCCATAAAAACATGCTACTGAAGAACTTCTTGAGCAATAAATTACAATCTCAGGGAGAAGGTTGGACCAGAGACTGGCATAATAATGTAAGCCATCCAAAAATGTACATGGGGGTGGAGGTGCAGTGTGAATATTCATGAAAATTTTCCCTTGACATATTAACTTTTTAAGTTAATATATTCTTGGGGTTGTTATTTTGTGTGGAAAGGCATTCAGTCACATACAGTCCTATTCACAATTAAAGCAGAGCAAATTATCAGAAAGATGAGAATGAATGTGTAATAAGAGTCTCTTCAGACTATCCTGGTGAAGCTATGTAATCCTAAAAAATTTAAGAAGTCTATTATTTATTTTGCATTTGTTTTTACAGTGTGCAGAAAACTCCAAGTTCCTGGTGAGGGCCTCTTACCTGGAGATCTATAACGAAGACATCAGAGACCTCCTTGGTCCAAACACCAAACAGAAACTAGAGGTGAGAACAGCGGAGCAGTCAACTAAGGCAGCTCATTAGTTTGAAAGTAAAAAAACAAGCACCACCACAACAAAACAGGCCCCCCCATTCCAGAAACTGGAACTCTTGATAGAGCACTGTGAACACAATTAATTATCCTAGGTATATACATTACATAAAGAAGATACAATTAGAGACCTGAAGAAAAAAATAAATCAAGCAGGTCCACTCGGTTTTGGAAGCTGTACAGTGGTGCCTTGACTTACGACCATAACTCAAAATGGTCATAAGTTGAAGCACAATTTCCCATAGGAATGCATTGAAATGCAATTTATCCATTCTGGCTGAAGAAAAAAAAATCACCCGAAAAAATCACATTGGAAATGTGATTAATCCCTTCCGGACGGGGGCCGGGGAGAAAAGCAATCAAGCATGCAGGTCCCATTGGAAATGCACAGAAAACAAACAGAGCAGATGCAAAAAACAAACCCCCCAAGACCATCGGAAATGGGAAAAAACACTCCAAAAAGCAACAACCCCCCCAATACCCATCGGAAATGGAGGGGGGAAAACCCAAAAAAACAAACAACCCCCCCAAGACCCATCACAACACAGAAACATAAACCCCTCCAGCTCAAAACCATGCTGCAAAAACACACAGAACAGTTTTAAAAAGCAGAAAACAGCACCTTACCTTGCCAGGCAGCCCAAAACCTCCCTGCAAACACACACACATATACTCTCAGAAGCAGAAGGAGGCAGTCCCAAGCTTCCAATGATGCACACTCTCTAACTGCTGGGGCGAAAGAGCTACAAAGAAGCAGCCTCATCGCCACCTACAGTTAATTTCCCTCCTTTTTCCCCTGCCTTTTTCTGTTTGTAAGTGGAAGCTCCGGTTGCAAGTAGAAGCAAAATTTTGCAGCTAGAGCTGGTTGTAACTCGAAATGGTCATAAGTAGGGACGTTCGTAAGTCAAGGCACCACTGTATTCTCTATAGGTCCATGTCACCATCAGTACACACTCCTTCTTCTTCCCGGGTATAGGTGGTCCAAAGTGTTGGTCTTTCTTCCTGTTTGTATTGCTGTCCTTCTCTTTTATATATAACCTCTGTTCAGTTGTCAGAATAAGAGGTATTAACACTTGCAGGTACGTAGGGTTTTGAGATTCCTGAAGGCTAGGATATAAGACTCAGTGGGCTGGGGGTTAGAGAATGGGAGCTAAGGAGCCTGACAGGACCAAGAGATATGAGCATTTGTGAATCAGAGTGGAACTTGATAGACATGATTTCGGGGTTGGAGGCAAAATAAATAACAAACCTTATCAAATCATGCAGAAAATATCTACTGTCACCTCAAACTGATCCTTTTTCTGAGATTTTAGTCTTTCTCTGGGGAATCCTGAGAGGAAAGAAGGACAAATCCCTGGTTCCTACACACAGCACCACAAGTTTTGTGTGTTTCCATCCCCTGCCTCTCCAGCTGGATCCCCCCCCCCTCTGCTAGTCTCTTACAAGAGCATGGGTTTCCCTGCCCCACCTCCTGGTCTTATCGCCCCTCAGACAAGGAGGCAAGACAGGCAAACCTGGGCTCCTGCTGGGGACTGGTCAAACAGGAGGAGGAGAGGGGTGTACTATGACAGGTGAGTGAGTTATTGGCTGGGAGGTGGGAAAACCATCTCTAGTCCAAACCCTGAGACTTGCCAATTCTATAAACCACTACAATACATAGGCATCCTTCAGTCTTGAGAGACCATGGTAACATGCTCTGTATCAAGGAGCATCCTCTCCAGAGCATGAAACCTGGGTAAAATAATATGGAGGATAGGCTGTTACCCAGGCAGCAGATCCCCCCTCTCCACGTTGCTGAAATGGTCCAATGGAAAGGCAAGAGCCAATACAACTGGTTCCAGCAATGTCGCAGGAGTTGGCAGAACGACACGAGCTGCCTTCAGGACTCCAGCTCCGGATTTGCCTCTAGGTTAACTCCTGAAGCCTTTTCTGTGAGTGGATATAGCCACAAGGCAGTGGAGGTTTGAAATTGGAGTTTTCCTTCTCCTAGATGGGCTGCCATCCATGGCTGACGAGCCCCACCAACCTGGCCTGCTCTCTAATAGTGCAAAAGTATGATCCAACCCTTAAAACTTTCCTGCCTCCCAGGTGAACCGAACCGCAAACCAGAACAGCTGACAAACTAGGCTGGTTTATGGTTTGGTTCGTGATCTGGTTTGGGGGATCCCATTTTGCTGGAGCAAAACGAAGCAACAAAGTTTTTTCTCCCCTCCTCAGCCCTTCGTTTTGCTTCTACAAAATGGGATGCCTGCCTGCCCCCTTCCCATCACCCTCATCGCCTCCCTACCTGGTCCTGCTGCCACCACTTCCTGTCCTCCACCGCTATTCTCTGAGGCAGTGGGACTGGCTTCCCTGCCAGAAGCTGGGCCTGTTGCTTCTGCACATGCGCCTGCCTATCAGCTGGTTCGTGCCCACCGCTAGGCATAAAGAAAAGTTTCCCAAGACTGAGATATTTGGGGTGCAATCTGTACCCCAAAGAGTTAAAAACCAGAGGAAAAGCCAAAACAACAACAACAACAACACACAAAACCAACAAAAAAACAAAACAAAAAAACAAACTCCTCAGCAAAATGTCCATGCAAGCTACCATACTAGAATCATTTTTAAAAGTCTTAATGTTGAAAAGCATGGTAGGAATGCAGAAGAAATGTTTATGGGGCTTGGAACTTCGAACCAAAACTCCTCCTGTCTGTTGGAAGCGTTAGTAGGTAGAAAAGTAGCTGCTAGGGACCTAACAATCTCCAGCCATTTTTGTTTCCTTTTTGCTATTAAATATGATTTATTGCACAAGTTTTTAACCTGCTGTCTGTGGAACCTTGAGGGGCCACACTGTCCTTATTTTGGGGGGGGGGTGGCCGCAAAGTTTTAAAGAAATTTTGTGATCTTTTCCAGTTTAAAACAGGTAGGTAAGAAGGAAGGAAGGAATAGAGGGAGGGAGGAGGAAGGAAGGAAACGTAGAACAAAATCTTAATTTCCCTTGTGTAAATCTTGGCTTTTCTAACTTATTGCCTCCATTAAAAACAAACAAAAGTAAAAATTGGGTATTGTATGATAGGAAATAACTGATATTTCTGCTTACGCTGAGAACATGCAAGTGAATGATGGCTGAGAGACAGCACGTGAAATTTCTTGTTACTGCACAGAAAACCGGAAGCCACAGGAAGAGAGTTTGAGTCATGGTTGTTGTGGGTTTTTCGGGCTCTTTGGCCGTGTTCTGAAGGTTGTTCTTCCTGATGTTTCGCCAGTCTCTGTGGTTGGCATCTTCAGAGGACTGGTGTAGGAACTCTGTCCATGCTCTGTTGCTGTTTGTTGGATAGTTGAGTATTTATAGCTGTGGGATCAGCTTTTGTCCTTTTCAGGTGATAGGGTGATAATGGAAGCCACTGGCAATGGTGCGGCTAAAAAATATTGTAAATAAATAAATAAATAAATAAATGGTGATCAGCGTTTTTTTTGTTGTGGATGTATTGTTGTGATAAGGGGGAGAGATTATCTGTCACTGTGATTGATGGGTGTCTTTAGCTGGTCTTTTTGTGCAACTCTACCCTTGTGGCTGGGTATAGTTCGTTGACCTTTTGCAGGCTGTATTTTTTCAGTGCTGGGAGCCAGGCCTTGTTAAGTTTTAGACTTTCCTCATTTTTGTTGAAGCTTTGCTGGTGTTTAAGGTTAAGTCTTGGTGCTCTGCGGCAACAAAAGTTATTTAAAGGGGGTCTATTGTAAAGGAAAGGCTAAGAACAACTGGTTTATTGATTGTTGCACCTAATGGACCACTCTCCTTCTCCCAGTCTTCACAGTTCTCTCATCCCAAGAATGGAAACTCTTCTATCACACATAAGAACAAACATATTAACAGATGACCCTGCCCTACACTGAGTCAAACTTTTTTCCCCATTGGGGACTGTAACCCAAGATTGCCTTGGAGCTTTCCAGTTTCACATGCGACTCCTCCTCAGATTTTTCCCCCTACAGATCCTAGTGACTGGATCTGGTTTTCTCCATGTGCACTATAGCCAAAAATCTGTTGATTCAAATAAGTTTACACTATGACTTACTTTAGCATAGTAAGTTGTAGTTAGAGTAGGCCCATTTGAATCAATGGAACTTACAGAGGAGTTAACTCACTAAATCCTCATTGATTCAGTTGGCCTACTGCAGTGTGATTTGCTAACAGGATTTTGACCAATGTGTTCATTCAACGAACTGTATTATAGCCCAAACATAGCTTGGCGACCCTCCCCAGTTGTGTTACCATACTGAGAAATGTGGAGCACCATGTCAGTGCAGACAAGAACAAGTTGACAGATTCTTCAGATAACACCATGGTTGCCACTTTAATTACAGCAGATAAGGAGAGATTTAGGAACCCAGCATGTTTCTAGCACCTCTTCAGGGTGTGGGGCTGCTCAGTTACAGAACACAAGGTTTGTGGCAAGGTGCTATTTGCATATACGACTTCTTCTTGCATTGACTCTCTGGTAATTTCCTAGTTCAGATGTTTCTCTTCTCCCCCCTCCTCTCCGTAACTGTTGCTGTACTGGTTTCCCGTGCAGCTGAAGGAACACCCAGAGAAAGGGGTTTATGTGAAGGGCCTCTCTCTGCACACAGTGCACAGCATTGCTGAGTGTGAACGCGTCATGGAAACAGGCTGGAGAAACCGAGCTGTGGGCTACACACTGATGAACAAGGATTCCTCCCGATCTCACTCTGTCTTCACCATCCACATGGAGATCTGTGTCACAGGTAAAGGCTGAGTTATGGTCGGACAGATCAGCAGTTGGACAAATACCTGTGAATAGGAGCAGGTTCTGAAAGGCTATAATTCTGCACCTTGTTATCATTCGAGGTATTCAGGGTTCTCAGAGTAACAGTTGGCCGACACTGGGGTCTTGAGCTTCCCTGTGTTTTTTCTGGAGAATAAAATATTGGCACAGCTGGTGGCAAAAGATAAAGAGTCACAACTGTGTCTGTTTCCCACTGGGTGAAACAGGAACCAAACCAGCAAAGGTATCCTAGCCTAACTCCCATCACAATAAACTCGTTCCCTCCTTCTCACATGTAAAGACTACAGAAGCTAAAGCACTGGGATATAGCTATCCTGTCTTTAGATATTCTGTCACAAGCCAGGTCAGGACCTCCCTTTAGGTACAATGAGGCAGATACCTCAGGTAGCAGATTTTGATTCTCATGAAATAGTAGCAAAATTTTCGTTGTTACTGCATTTTTATAATACTACTCGCAGTGTTCAGGAGGCATAAGCATGGGGGTTTCTGCTTCACGTTCCAAAAGAACTTGATGCACCTTCAGTGAGGGGCACCATTTGTTTCCCTTTGTCAAGCAGGAAAATTTCTTGGGCCAACCACTCAACAAGCAGCCAGTTATATAGCATGATGCTAGACCTGGGAGGCTTTATGGAGCTACATAGGAGGTCATAAATCTTCAAATGAAAATGTGCCCCAGAATCTTTCTTGAGTGTCATAGAAGATGCTAGGATACAACTGGTGGACGGTGCCTGTTTGCTTCTTTCCCAGGAAAGCTATGTGCAAAGAACAAGTGGTGGAACGGAGGCCTGTTTTGCACTTGTAGAAAAATGAGGTGGTGGAGTGCTGAGTAGTCAGGTGGACCTTAGAGGGGGAAGATTTAGAAATGATTTTTCTAAATCCTCCCCATATTAAAAAGCATAAATCAAAAGAAAAACCTATACAGAAGATGGTTGTTGTAGGTTTTTCGGGCTGTTTGGCCGTGTTCTGGAGGTTGTTCTTCCTAACGTTTCACTGTGGCCGGCATCTTCAGAGGACCGGAGTCAGAACACAGACAGAGTTCGAACTCCTGTCCCCTGAAGATGCTGGCCACAGAGGCTGGTGAAATGTTAGGAAGAAAAACCTCCAGAACATGGCCAAAGAGCCCGAAAAACCTATAACAACCAATGGAGGAGAATGCTTCACATTTGCAACTTTTCACTGCTAATATATAATTCAAGCTACTGCTTTACCCTGGACCTGCCTTCCTCAACTTGGCATCCTTCAGATGTGTTAGAATACAACTCATCTTGCCTATAGATTAAGAGAACCTAGCAGTTTGGCAGTTGTCTTTCAAAGTATTCAGCTTATCCTTTTTCTACCTTTGCAGATGAGAGAGGCCAAGATCACTTGAGAGCTGCAAAACTCAACTTGGTGGACCTGGCTGGGAGTGAGCGGCAATCCAAAACTGGAGCTGTTGGGGAGCGCCTCAAAGAGGCCACCAAAATCAACCTGTCTCTGTCTGCTCTGGGCAACGTCATCTCAGCCTTGGCAGATGGAAGATGCAGACATGTCCCCTACCGAGACTCCAAACTCACCCGGGTGCTGCAGGACTCACTTGGTGGCAACACGAAGACACTCATGGTGGCCTGCCTGTCTCCTGCAGACAACAATTATGATGAGAGTCTCAGCACCCTACGCTATGCCCACCGAGCCAAGAACATCCAGAACAAGCCTCGCGTCAATGAAGACCCCAAGGATGCTCTGCTGAGGGAATACCAGGAGGAAATCAAAAAGCTCAAAGCTATTCTGGCACAGCAGATGAGCATGAGTATTTATTTATTTATTTATTTATTTATTTATTCATTCATTCATTCATTCATTCATTCATTCATTCATTCATTCATTCACTCACTCACTCACTCACTCACTCACTCACTCACTTACTCACTCACTCACTCATTCATACTTTGCCTTTCTCCTGAAAAGGACTCAAGGCAGCTTACGGTATTAAAAACAAACAACATTAAGAGCTAAAACACAATAAATTATTAAAGTATTTAAAAAAGAATTACACAGATATAGTAATAAAACTGGTAGATAAAAACAGTTATAAAATCCCATTAAACACATGTGCGCACAGAGAGAGAGAGAGAGAGAGAGAGAGAGAGAGAGACCCATTTTAAGACCCTGTCTTATGCAACCAGCCACTAAGAGAAAGGCTGTCTGAAGAGAAAGGTCTTTGCCTGCCTTTGGAAGGACAGCAAAGATGGGGCCAGTCTGGCTTCCCATGGGAGGGCGTTCCAGAGTCCGGGAGCAGCGACAGAGAAGTCCCTCTCTCTTGTGTTCCCACCAGACAAACCTGTGGGAGTAGTGGGATAGAGAGATAGGCCTCCCATGATAATCTTAAAACCCATATAGGGAGATGCAGGATCTGATGTAGCTCAGACCCAAGCCACTTAGAGCTTTATAAGTCAAAAGCAGCACTTAGTACTTTGTGACTGGAATCAGGCCAGTAGTCAGTGGAGCTGCTGTAACAGCCCCAGTACATTATCTGGCTGCAGCATTTTGGACCTACTGAAGTTTGGTAACATTTTCCAAAGGCAGCCTCACATAGAGTTGGGTGCAGTCTACATACTGGTGACACCAAATGCTCAAACTCAAGAAAAGTTCTTCCAGCTGTTTCATGTACATATTAAATAGCATGGGGGACAAAGCAGAACCCCGTGGGATACCACAGGCCAAAGGCCAGGGGTTGAATATGAATCCCCAGCACCACCTCCTGATTTCTTCCCTATAGGAAGGACTAGAACCACTGTAAAATAGTGCCAGGTCCATCACAGAGAGATGGCTCAGAAGAATACCACAGTTGATACTGAAAGCCCCAAGAAGTCCAGCAGGGCCAATGGCACACACTCCCCCTGTCCAGCACCCCGTGTAGATCATCCTCCAAGGGGACCATTGCTGGCTTCATCCCATAGCCAGGCCTGAAGCCAGATTGAAATGGATCTAGATAATCCATCTCATCCAGGAATCCCTGGAGCTAAGAAGCCACCACCCACCCACTCTAAGAACTTGCCCAGGAATGGAGCTGGTAATTAGAGGCGGGCTGGTAATTATCATATATGATGGGATAACCTGCAAGGTAGTCACTAGCAAGGTAATATCTTTACAAACAGCCCCTGGACTTCTGACTAAGGTCTGGTTACCTGTGCCTTCCGCCACACTTTTTGGGCAGTACATAGTTATATTGGTATCAGTCATGAGATTCTTTGCCATCTCCAGGAAGGAGGACTTTCCTCCTCATGCTCGCCATAATTGCACTTAACCAGGATTTGAACAAAAAAGGTAGAGCAGCCCTCTCCAAGGCAGCCCTCTCCAGTAATGCTGGTCTGGGACACCCTTCATCCCTGGCCAGCACACCCTTGCTAGGGATCTGATGCGGATCATGATTTATTTCCTGTATAGAGATCCTTTGTCCTTTTGGGACTGTGATCTGCTTCTGTAGCAAAGGCAAGGGACTAAAACATGGTGAGGAACTGGATGTTGACTCCTGCCACTATGGCTGAGCCTGATTATGTTGGGGACGCTGCTGGATACTAGCTGAGGCAGTGGCTGAAGCCTTTCCATTTGGTCCCCATTCAGCTGGGGACTTGGATTCACTCCTCCTCCACTTAAGCTTCTAAATATTGGCTGAAATTCTGTAATGATACCTTACACTGCATAATTCTGATGACATGAAAGAGATTCCATGGGACCTTCATGTGAGAAGTTGGAAATCTTCAGTTTCTGAAAAATCACCACTGCTGATGACATCAGCAGTGATTTTTCAGAAAATAAAAATTTCCAACTTCTCTCATGAGGATCCCAATGGCCCATGGAATCCCTTTCATAGCTGGAAATCTATGGGGCCTGCGGGGGTGAGGGAAGTCCTTAATTATCAAAAATCACAGCTACCAGATGCAGCAACTTTTGGTAATTTCAGACTTTTCCTTCCCACTACACAACCCCTACAGCTTCTCAACTGCAAAAGCAATTCCACAGAAGCCACAGGGCCTTCGGGAGAGAAATTAAAAATGTTTAATTTCCAGAAAATCATCACTACTGATCAGCCTTATGGGGCATAAATTATAGGAACAAAAGTTTCAGCCACTGTTTCTGATTATTTTGCAAAAATAAAAAAGGATAACATTTATAACACAACAGGGGGCAACTATTTGCATTGCTGTTCTCTAGCAACATCAGTGACATAAACATTAGCCAAGAGATGCCCCTGATATAACTACCGTCATGGGCTTACACTATACACTTATAACTGGGATGGCATTTGCTATCTTTGACATGAAATAGGATTTCCCTAGAAACTCAATATTGTATTCCAAGTGCTGGGAAATCTTGATTTCTTTCCAACGGATATACAGGCTGAAACTATGAAATCCCAGTCACCTGAACATTTGCACACACTTTCCATGGTTAAATAAAGTAAAGTTTAAAGAACATTTAAAACATCACCTACAAATAAATATTTGACTATTGGGGTCACATGAGAAGGATGAGCAGAGCAACAATGCAGCCGGGCCCATCTACTAAGCCAAGTGATAAGTGCTTACCCTTTTCTCTCATGCTTTTATAGACGTGTCTCCACTATTACTTTCTGAGCCTACTCAGCCTGAAGTGAAGCCAGAACCTCCTCCTGAATCCCAAGCAGCTACTGAGAAAGAAAAACAGCTGATTCGAGAAGTAAGTTGGCCATAGCCTCTGCCATGGGGCAGGAGATGTTCACTAGTCTTTGTAGCAGGGATCTGCATGTGACGCGTGGTAGAATTGCATTCATCTAGTGTAATCCAGTTATCTAGCTGAACTGTAATCCATGAGACTCCTCCTAATGTTTTCTCTGATTTCTTTTTTTAACACTAACCAAACAATCAAGCAAACAACCAAAACCTTATATCATTCAAGGCCAAACTAGAAGTTAAAGGGAGTGTGCATTCCCTCTGATGTACTTGTTTTCCTTCCCGTAGTTATTCTTCCTCTGAGATGAAATACTGTTGAGGTAACTATGCTCGTGGAATTGAATGTACATTCATGGAATGATACTGCCTTTGAGAAAGCAGTACTTTCTGAAATACTGGTGTGAAGTTCCATTCATCTGTCTGCCTCCAGTAAACGAGCTTTTCAAGCTCCCATATGTAAGAGTCACAGGGACCATAACAAAGAGCAGGTGACTTGCCTGTAACTCTAGTTCTTCCTCTAGTCAGCTGTGAACTCACACAGCCTCCTCTTCTACCTTCTGTTTTCTGATATCACTGTTTGTTAATGGACTCAAAACAGGGGTTTTTTCCCAGTGAGGTGGAGTTCCCACCAACTGCTACTAAGTTCTGAATGTTCTGGAGATGTCTCGGTGTACGCCCGAGATCCATATTCTGAGTTTACAGTTACAGGCCAACAATTCTGTTCTTTTTGGACTAAAGTTCCTAGACTTTTCGAGACTTTTCCATTCAGCCGGGCCAGTGGCTGAGGTGTCCTGGAAGTTATAGCGAAAAATGGAATTCTTTCAAACTCTACTAGACAGGGCATCGGCATTGAAATTTTTCTGTCTCTGTGACTTATTTAAAACACTAGCCCAAATCCTATTAACGTAACACAAATGGCATAACTTTTGAAGGCAAATTGCCCTGAGTTAAGAAATCACCGCAGATATTATCAGTGGCACACTGAGTTGTATAATATGTGTGCAATTGATAGTGATTTCTTAATTTGAGGCAGTTTGCTTCCAAAAATTACATCATTTGTTTAGCTACAGAAAAGGATTTTATTTATTTAATTTAATTTATTTATTAAATTTATATACTGTACCACCCATCTAGAATGTGTCTACTCTGGGCAATTCATTTTGTACTTTGTCAGCCATATCGGATCATTAGTCTATAGGTACAGTCTCTTTGGTCCAGGTTGGGAATGGGCTGGTTTGCTCCTTTTCCTGTTGCCACATTACGTAGGTGCCATTGTGAACCAGCCCACCTGTGATCTATGCCTACCCATACCTTTTGCGGTCCCTGTCAGAGACTATTGCTTTTTGTGTGTGGATAGGATCACTCCAGTTTGCTTTACTTCCAGTATCTGTGATTGCTGGGATTGAACGAAAGCAGCTAGCTGGCTGTCCATTTGCTGAAGCTGCATAATGATTTTGAGAAATGGGAAGCTACCTGGCCACTCACCTTTAGAGGCCACTCACCTTTTCAAAGCATTGCTTCTGCATTAGGAACAATTAAATTTTGCATTTGATTGTTCCTAATGCAGAAGCAGTGCTTTGAAAAGGCTTTTTTAAAAGCCCTTGCAAAGCATCTCTGATGCTCTGTGTCAGTCAGTAACAATTAAAAGGAAAGAGAAAATTCCCCCCACATCCCTCCAAAGGCAAGCAGCAAGGAAGATTTCTATTTCTGAGGCTCGTTAAGGGGCGTCCTCCTTTGTGCTTTACCTAACTGCTTGATGATCTTGAGAAACAGAAATCTCTTTTCTGCTTGCCTTTTGAGGGGAAGGGAGGAGAGGTTTTCCATTCCGTTTTAATTTTTGCCACCTGTCACACGATGTCCCTTTCTTCTTTTTAACGGTTGCATTTTCAGGAGTATGAGGAGAGGCTGGCTCAGCTGAAGGCTGATTATGAAGCTGAACAAGAGTCTCGGGTCCGGCTTGAGGAGGACATCAGTGCCTTGAGGAATGCATACGACCAGAAATTCCACACTTTGGAGGAGAAGCTCAGGAAAGGAGGAGGTAGAGATGGAACAGATGTGGAAAGCATGGTTGTGTCCAAGCAGTACACTTGTTTGCACCAGATTCCATACATACACAAAAGTGTTGGTATAGCCACTAGCCCTGACTACAGAATTTAACCTCTGGGGATTCTTGTACTATAGTCTTTCATTATAGGTTTTAATGCAATTGCTACTATACTATTTATTATTTTATCATCATTTTTTTCACTCTTTCACGGTAAACCATTCTGTAGATTTTACAAAACGGTCGGGTAGAAGTTTTTTAAGTGAGGAAATAAATACCTAGTCCAAGAGAATTCTGAGCGTCAATTCAGACCCAGCAGAATGTTGCTCAAACCCCTTGCATGATTGTTAAAAGCAACTGTCTCAAGCCTAGAGGTGCTTCTTGCTTAATCTGTATTTCTTGTTTGCTTTAGAAACCACCCAGCCTCCGGAAGCCATTGCTGACCAAACTCCTTCGCCTGCAGGCCCTGCTGCAAAAACTGAAGTGCCAGCCAAGGTATCTTGGAGGATAGACTTTCTTCAAGTCATGAAATATACATAGCAATGGCAACACATAACACTCCTTTCAAAATAGTTCTGCAATAGTACAGCAGGGGGTGGGATGGTGCTTTATATGAGCGGCCAGGAACACTACATCATACACACCATAGCATCTTTCAGGGGGGAAGGCTTGTCACAGAACCTTGTTTCAGAGAATGGGAATGAGGTTAACAGTTAATGGTTACTGTTGTTCTATAATATTTTTAGAGTCCTCTAAACCAGTGGTCCCCAACCTCCTCCAGATGTTCTTGGACTTCAACTCCGAGAAATCCTGGCCAGCACAGCTAGTGGTGAAGGCTTCTGAGAGTTGCAGTCCAAGAACATCTGGAGGCCCAAGGTTGGGGACCACTGCTCTAAACACTTCACTTATAGTATCCTGAAGTGCTTCCAAATTAGGGTTTTATTATGTGGTCACTGTGCCTTGTTCACAGAATCTTACTGGGTCCAGAAGATACCTTCCGTTTGTAATATTGCTGTGTTTTTACTCCCCTTGATAGAATTCTATTAGTTATTTACACCCATGTAAGTGCTGTGGCAGGAAGTGCAGTGGTGAATTACCACTCGTTGTTGACAAGTTGGCACTTACGACCTTTTTGATCTGACAAACGAATCCTTATTTGGTGGAAATTTGCTGCAGGAGTTTAACACTGTTGCACTTACACAGGTGTACAGTGGTGGCCCACTTGACGATGACCCTGCTTGACAATGCAATCGCTTTATGATGACTTTTTTGCGATTGCTATAGCGATCGCAAAACTATGTTTCTATGGTTTTTTTCCGCTTAACGTCGATTCGGTCCCTGCTTCGGGATCCTTATTTGGTGGAAATTTGCTGCAGGAGTTTAACACTGTTGCACTTACACAGGTGTACAGTGGTGGCCCACTTGACGATGACCCTGCTTGACAATGCAATCGCTTTATGATGACTTTTTTGCGATTGCTATAGCGATCGCAAAACTATGTTTCTATGGTTTTTTTCCGCTTAACGTCGATTCGGTCCCTGCTTCGGGAACTATTTTTTCTCAAAACGACGATTAGAAACAGCTGATAGGCGGTTCGCAAAATGGCTCCCCACTGTTTTCCGGACCGATTGTTCTCAAGACAGGGATCCCAAAATGGCTGCCCTATGGAGGATCTTTGCTGCACGAGCAGGTATTTCCCCCACTGGAACACATTAACCGGTTTTCGATGCATTCCAATGGGTTTTTTTCCTCTTGACGATGATTTTGCTTAACATAGATTTTCCTGGAACGGATTATGAGTGTTCTGGAATGGATTATCATCATCAAGCGGGGCACCAGTGTATATAACCAATAAGAGTTTGGCCACTTCTCTTCCCCCCGTCCCCTTTCACCAAAAAATAAAACCAAAACCAAACCCTTAAGGAGGAAATGATGGAGTAATTTTCTGAATGGTGAGAAGCAATTTGACAATCTGTTGAATGCAATGACCAAAATTCTGTTGCTTGGCATACCAGTAAGAGTTTGGCCACTTCTCTCCCCCACCCTTTTCACCAAAAAACAAAAACAAAACCCAACCCTTAAGGAGGAAATTATGGAGAAGTTTTCTGAATGGTCAGAAGCAATTTGACAGTCTGTTGAAGGCAATGACCAAAATTCTGTTGCTTGGCATAGTAAATCATGCTAGAGTAGGTCCATTGAATTAGTGAGGATTGGTAAGTCAACTCATCCATATGTTCCATTGGTTCAATAGGCCTACTCTGACTGTGACTTACTTAAGCATAATAAGTTATAGTTAGAGTAGCCCCATTTGAATCAATGGAACTTACAGAGGGGCCAACTCACAAAATCCCCATTGATTTTGGCCAATTAGATTTATTTCTCTGTATATATGCATAGTACTGTTGGCATTAATATCCAAGATGGTTTCATTCTATGTATCTGATTACTTCTAACAAAGCATTCTGAAATGGCATAATCAAATATAATATTCAAAGAGTTACTTTTTTATTATAACTCTCAGAATTCCCTAACCACTATGTCACGGACCATTTCTAGAAGCTGTAGTCTAAACAAGTAACTTTTTCAAGTTCTGAATGCTAGATGTTAACTAAACTTCTTTGTAAAATGGCAATGCACTCACCTCTCTGGAAAGGTCTCACCTTAAACTGGCTGAAGAATTCAAGTGAACACCATGAGGCCAACAGCTTAATTGTTTTGTTGGTCTGGGGGCAGAAGCAGTTCATGGTTGCTTAGCAACATCAGATTTGTGCCTGGAAAAAGAATGGTCTTCTTCTCCCAGACCTTTAGCACAGCAGCTGGTTGGCTGGGACTGAGGTATGGCAGCAGCAAAGCCAGCAGTCGTAGTGGCAAGGCATAGTATGTAGAGTGCGTCAGCAGGCCATATCTGAGACTGAAGGGTGGATGAGTCCGTTTTGGCCCTTTCTTCCCAGTCCCTCCTAGGAGACAGGCAAAATGTTGAGTTTTACACTTCCGGGGGTGGGTGGGTGTTCCACTGTGAATCAGCCTTGTATTTCTGAGTTCAAATATCACGTGCTTTCAAAATGGCTTCCTCCAATGTCCTCTTCTGCTCAGGAGTCTGACACAGCTGAACATCCTGCCCCTGCTGTGACCCAACAAGTGGAAAAAACAATCAGACCAGGAACACCAGGGACCGATGCAGCCGAGGAACAACCTATGCCTGTAAACCATCAACAAGTGCTTGCCAGGTCAGTGAGAAATGCAGTGCAATACAATGCAACACAACACAATGCAACACCAAAAAGTCCTAACCCAATCCCAAAACACACTTATCAGGAAATAAGTTCATGATGATGGTGGCTCCTGAGGGTAAAAAGTCTGAAAAACAGTATCTAGAATAGAGGTATGGCACTGGTGTGCCCGCCCACCCCCTATAATTGAACTTTAGCCCACATGACCCTCATGATCAAAGGTAAGGGATGTCAGGAATTAGACACTAGCAATGTCAGAAGAGTCTTGTGTTCCCCACAGCCTTGAGCTGAGCTGAGGCTCTGACTTTCTCAGGTTGCAGATGTTGGAACAACAGATGGTAGGAGGAGAACAGGCCAAGAACAAGGACCTGAAAGAAAAGCATAGATGGCGAAAGAAAATGGCAGATGAGCGGAAGAAACAGCTGTTGGCAGCCCTACAGAAATCGGATGAGGACAGCAGTGACTGGGTCCTGCTCAACGTCTATGACTCCATCCAGGAAGAACTGCATGCCAAAAGCAAATTGCTGGAGAAGATGAAGGAAAAGGTGATTCCTTTCTCCTCTGAGGTTAACAGGTCTTGTACAGGGTTGGGAAATGGGGAGTGCTCTCTCTCCACTTATAGATACCTAAGTGCTAACTCTAACATTGGGAGTATTAATTGTGATGCTCAGAGGGCATGTATAAAATCCTTTAGAGCACTGTGAAGCACGTGAAGTGAAGCAAGGTGAGAGAGAGCAAGGCTCTCTTTCCATGACCTTTCAGGCACTGGTTTTCAATGTGTGGGTCAAGAAGATCTGGAAATTGGTTGCACTTGAAGTAAAACACAAGAGTTGGGGGAGGGAATGACTTTTTTTGGATTACAACGTCCAGAATATCTCTTTGCTGGTGATCATTCTAAGAGAGGGATTCAAGGAACTGTAGGCGAAAAAAGTAATTCTGCCAAGTAGTGCCAGTGGCTATTGCCACTGTTTCCTTTTCTCTCCCTCTCTCTCTTTCTCTGTGTGTATTTATGCCAGAGAAGGAGGGAGTGGGAAATGAGGAGGGAAACAGGAAGTTTATACAAGAAATGGGACAGAATTACTTTATCTTTAATAGTTGTAAAGAAGAGATAACTGCAACAACAGTAGCTGTTCATTCCTCTTCTGGACCAGCACAATTCAGCCTGCCTTCTTATCTGATTATCTTAGGCCAGGGTGAGGAGAAAGTAGTCCTTATCCAAGTGGCCATTTTCCAGTGGACCACATAATGCTTCCTGGTTGCTGTGATTCCTGGAGAGAATGCTGGAGGAGGGGGACCTTGGTTTGATCCTGCCCGCCACTTCTGGTGCTTTTGAGCTTGGGAGTGCTCAGGGCCACTTAGCACAGGCTAGATGTTCCTTAGCTGCTGGGAGATGCTAGGTACATTCATGTGAAAAAGAAAGTACGCCCTCTTTGAATTCTATGGTTTTACTTATCAGGATATAATGAAAATCATCTCGCCCTCAGCAGGTCTGAAAATTAGGTAAATACAACCTGAGATGAACAACAACGCGTGACATATTACACTGTGTCATGATTTATTTTACAAAAAGGAAGCCAAAATGGGGAAGCCATGTGTGAAAAAAATCATGGCTAACATAGTTTAGGGATGCACAATAATTACAAAATACTATAAAGACAACTAGCAATTTAGCAATTCACTTTACCTAGACCATGTTCTCATCCCGGATCCATCTTTCTTAGCTGCGGGTTGCTGAAACTGAAATCAGAGATCTCCAGTCAGAATTTGAGCTAGAGAAGATTGATTATCTAGCCACCATCCGCCGCCAAGATCGGGAACTCCTCCTTTATCAGCAGCTCCTGGACCAAGTTCAACCACTCATACGGCGGGACTGCAATTATAGCAGCTTTGATAAAATCAAGAGGGAGTCCACCTGGGATGAGGAATCAGGCTGCTGGAAAATCCCAGAGCCTGTCATTCAAAAGACAAGCCTCCCTGCAGGTAAGGAGACCTCTGCAGATTCACCATGTTTCTCCTGGACAGTATTGCACCAAATGCCCCAGAAGTGGCTAGAAACGCCATATTGCTAGACTACATGGACACACTGTGCCAGTATACAAACCTGCAAGGTGGCAGACGGTTGGGTTTGATGCAGGATTTTGCTGCCTGAGTATAAAATCTGATCAGACAGGCTGGCAACAGAACAATATCTTCTGCCACACTTGAAGGCAACAGGCTAGCTTAAGAAGCAGAGGCAGGGTGCCTGGCACACAGATCTTTATCTTCCCTGCACTTTGCTCCAGCTCCCTGCCTACTGGCGCTGGCTGCCAAAGGCAGCTGCCTCACACTGCCTAATGGTAGGGCTGACTGCGTTTTCATGTAGAAGTGAGCAAAACTGGACTTCCTTCCCCAACTTTTCTGCTCACTGCTGTACTTACTGGCTTCTTGTCTGTCCTTTATCCTTTGAGGTGCCACCCACCCTGAGACTGTTTGGGTAATCCTTTGCTTATCTCAGTTCTGCACACAGTGAAATACAAGAGTAGGCCCATACCAAATGCGTAGCAGACTGAGGTCTACCTCTTACACAAAAGGAGTATGCAGAGGAAGAGAAGAATAATTAATCTTCCCCTTCATCTCATTTCACTCTGCTGTTAAAAGCAGTTTCCCCCCTGCAACACTCACATCTGGTATTGGAGCCAGACTGGGGAAATCATTGCTTACATTCAGTAGAGAGGTAGGGGAGATTGTACTCAGTTCTCCTCTGTGTGCTTGTCTTAGCTTAGCAGGTGCTCCAAACAGAACTCAAAAACCAAATGCTGAAGATTGCTGCGGAAGAAGCCAAACCACCGGAGTGATATTAAAAAGTTTATTGATCAGTTTTATTGGTTCAGGAAGCAGGAGACTAAATGCTAAGGGAAGCTATTAAAACCATAGGATCATCCTTATCAGAACACCTAAGCAAAAGGCCCAGTTCATGGAGGTGTCAGAGAAACATTTTACCAGTGATAAAGTAATGCAAGAAGACAAGGATAAGCTAATGGGTGAAGGAGCAGTTAATACGTGTGTGACATGCAATCTCAGATTTCCTTCATACCGTGCAGGTATAAAGCTATTATAATGGGGCAGACACCAGTAGTTCTCAATCCGAGTTTTCACTGCTACATTCCCTTTATTACATCCCAGCTTTGTGTCTGACATGGATGACTACATCTGTCATAATGAAGAACGAGGCGCATGCTTAAGCTATGTATGATTGCCCCACATCTGCTTTTACTTCCCTGCACAGTTGCCAGACTTTGTATTAGCTAAGAGAAAACAGTGCAAACCTAAAGGGATTAAGAACCACTATTACTCTTTCTTTTAATAGCAGTGTCATCATTGTCACAGACCAAAACAGGCAGGAAGAATTCATCCTCGGAGAATGGGGACACAATCACAGTGGTAAGCTGAGGGGTGCTTCTGCTTATAGATAGAATTAGTTACAAAACTGTGCAGCATGTGTATCACCAATAATTCAGTTTGCTGTATTGGCATAAAAATGGTATTTTTTCTTCTTCTTCGCTTCATATTGTACCATTATTCCTAATAAGAACCAGGAGTCTGCATTTACACTTGTTAAAAGTGTGACCAGCATTCTCTTTTGATCATGACTGCCGGCAGAATGTAGCTGCTGTTTCTGTCCAGCAGCCAAGAGAAAGCACAACGGCCACAGTACGTCTAATTGGTCTAATCTCCCTTCTCCTCTCATTGTAGAATCATAGTAGTTTGTAGCTGGAAGGGGGCACAAGAGATCATCTAGTCCAGTGGTTCTCCAGCTGGGGGTCCCCAAGTGTTCTTGGACTGCAACTCCCAGAAATCCTGGCCAGCACAGCAGGTGGTGAAGGCTTCTGGGAATTGCAGTCCAAGAACATCTGGGGACCCCAGTTGGAGAACCAATCCTCTGCTGATGCAGGAGATTGCCAACTGAACTAACCTTGATAGAGGACAATGCATTCTCTGCTTAAAAACCTCCAAGGGAAGAGTCATTCACTTTCCAAAGCAATCTGTCCATTAAGAGTGTGAAATAAGAATGACAATGACAGCCACCTTCGCTATTCAAGCCTGATAAAGATCAGCAGTGTGAACATGCTTCAAGAAGAGCAAGTAGTCTCACTCCCTTCCATTGTTGTATTCTTCAGTTTCAGCTTTAGGGCTGGCTGTGGTTTTCCTTGAAGAGTCAAGTAAGGTAAAGGTAAAGGTTCCCCTTGACAATTTTTGTCCAGTCGTGTCCGACTCTAGGGGGCGGCGCTCATCCCGCTCTTCAAGCCATAGAGCCAGCGTTTTGTCCGAAGACAATCTTTCCGTGGTCACATGGCCAGTGTGATTTAGACACGGAACGCTGTTTACCTTCCCACCGAGGTGGTCCCTATTTATCTACTCGCATTTGCATGCTTTCGAACCGCTAGGTTGGCGGGAGCTGGGACAAGCGACGGGTGCTCATTCCGTTGCGTGGATTCGATCTTACGACTGCCGGATCTTCTGACCCTGCAGCACAGGCTTCTGCGGTTTAGCCCACAGCGCCACCACGTCCCTTGAAGAGTCAAGTAGGAGGAGACAAATACTATATAAAAGTTTTCAGGTCTACCTGGTTAATATTTTAAAACTGTGAAAATGAATAAATTTTGTGAGTCCTTGTAAAATGCGCAGTACAACAGGACATGTTCCATTGTTTCAACCATGCCAGATTAGCAAGAGCAAATGCATAAGGGATGTTTCAGTGTCCTCCCTCTAAAAGGGAACCGCCTTGTCTTCAAACTCAGCGCTGAAACCATGAAGATGGAGCTACATGGTCCTCTCTGAACATGTTCAAGCCCTGGCCTTTTATAATGCCTGAAAGTCTGAACAAGGAGGCTGTCCTGGACAATAGTTCTTTTGTTAGCTATCACTTGTAGCACTGTCTTCTGTGGCTTGTTCTGTCTCTTCTAAACTCCAGTTGTGTTTTTACTGCTCTTCATGATAGGTAGATGATGTTTGGTGATGTGGGTGGTAAACCTATGGGTGATTCCAATTGTAACAGGAGCTCTAAGAATTGGGTGGTCCTCTGTCCCAAAAACATAAGTGCAGTCCTGCAGACGGAAAACTTAGATATAGTGAGAAATACTCTAAAATCAATTTTCTTTTTCACATGTTAGTTTTCTGTGTGAGAAGTTTTTTTTTTAATGGAAGAACCTTCCGATGAGCTGCTACTTACATTCTGATGTGATGCTGCAGTCGTATGTTCAGGGCCTTTGAGAAGTTATGGCCTGTCCAGTGGTAACTAATTATACAGGATACTGTTTCACACTATAGCAAAACACCTTTTCATTCTCTATGTTCATTCAGGCTGCATCTGGAGCGACGTTTGTATTTCACAATGCTGTTGCTTCCCAGAGATTAAAATGGAAGTTCAATTCTTGTACATCCCGATTATTTCAATGAGAAAAGTCCTCCCACTGAGTTCACAGCAGCTTAAAATGTCTCCTTTGGTCTTTGGTTTGGATTGTTCTTTCCCCCAATTTGTAATCTTCTCACTGCTCCACAGTGATGCAGGAACTAGTAGAGAAGTAGTGTAGCCCAGGGCTTAAAATAGTAAAGCAGGCCCAGAGAGGAGGAGGGTAAAATTAGTCTTAGACTAGTCAATCATCCTTGCCTCAGTTTCCTCACTTTAAAAAGGAGAGGGCAAATTCTGTTAAAAGTGGGTGCCTTCTTGTTGTATGTTTTCAGCAGGAGGAAGACCGCTACAAGATGATGCTGAGCAAGAGCGACAGTGAGAATATTGCCAGTAACTATTTTCGTTCAAAACGAGCAAGCCAGATTCTCAGTACTGATGCCATGAAAATTCTGGGTAATTCCCCTCCTTTTCTTCTCTTCCAAAGTGGTGCTGGCCCTGCTCCCACCTCTTCCTGCCCCTCCACTCCCCAGCCTTGGTATCGGTAGCACTTTTAAGCATTTCTCAAGTATTTATCTCAGTGTCCCAGCTTAAAGTAACTTGTTAATGTAAACAACACGGTTAGCTCTGTTTTGCAGAGGGGTCTGCAAACATGAGAGAAAACGACTTGTCTGGTCAGCCAATCCATTTATGGCAATGTTAGATTGGACCAGATACATGTACACATTATTTCATGAATGTTGTTTCACCAGCTAAGTGGGAGAAAACTGCACAAAGCATCCTGCATCTAAAACCCTGCTGGTGTAAGGTGATAATAAGCCCAGCTAGTCAAAGGAGATGTTTGGGCCCTTCAACACATGACAGTTTTTCTTTCCTGTAGCCAAGGGCTGGCTGTTGTCTTTCCATTCCTATTTAGCGCTCTTGACACAGGAAAACTGGGGTCTAAAAAATCCTTTGGGGTGCCCAGTCACTCCTTGGCCCTAAGATGAAAAAGCCATGTACTCTTTGTCAGTGTACTGAAGCCATTCCTTATCATCATCATAGTAATCATTTGCATTTATTTTATTGCAAAGGCTTAACATTCACTCAGTCAAAAATGTGAAATGTGTAGCTCAACAGATGTTGTTTGACTGCAGCATCAGGGATCCCTCATCATGGGTTGATGGGAGTGACAGTCCAACAACCCCGAGAAGGCCACATGTCCTCCCTTCCCCCCTCCCCGAATTGTGTATTATACAGAATGAAACACAGAGACACACAGAGACACACGTTTCTCTTAAATAAGTTAAATAAGGACGGGGGTGTCTGCAAAGTTTTAGTATGGGCTCCTTCTAGGGATACAGCAAACAGGCTTTTGTTTATTTCCATGAGACCAAGCATCTCAACGTCCTCTTCTCGTTTCTTTCCTTGGCAGCTTCCCATAACTCCCCCCTTCTGGTGACCTCCAGCTTGGCACCCATCCCCTCTGCCCAAACAGTGGAGATGCCCCAGCCGCGCCCCTTCCGCCTTGAATCCTTGGACTTTTCTTCTCCATCAGCCAAGACAAAACACAAGAAAAGCCGGAACAACTTGAACGGAGACCCTCTCTGACCGGCAGGTCACTCGTAAGCAGGGCGCGGTCATTGCAAAAAGCAACCAAGCAAACCACCCCTTAGGCACAAATCCTCCTGCATCCAGAGGATTTCGACATGACCTTTAGTCTGGAACCCTTCCACTGGGCAAACTGACCCCGCTGTGAACCAAACTTTCCACATAAGCATCTGGCTCTGTGGAAGCTCAATTTTCATAATCTTTCCACTTGTAAAAAGCAGGCTAGGGAGTGTGACATCGTATGGAACTACGCACTTCATATGGTTAACTGTTCAGATGCTTTCTGCATAAGTGGACAAAAGGCCTCGTGCCCCATAACTGACACTTCAAATTGTCTGTCTGGATAAAAGGCACAAGTATAAGACTTCATGAGAGATGGCCATTTTATCTTTCAGACGGTGGCATTTGCTGGAGAGTTACGACTGAAGAATCAGTGCATAACAGTCCTAATAAAAAGATTCACCCCTCCAAAAGCCGTCCCCCAGTCCCCATTGTCAAATTTCATGAGAGCAATAATATAGCAATCTTTCATAAACTGTAATTATGACTGGCATTCCTCTATAATTTTCTTAACGAGCAAGCACTGGAGGAAGACACTCATGCAGTTCTCCAGGCCTGCCTTAGATTCCTAGGGACAGCTCCCCCCCCACCCTCAAGATATTTTATACAGTAATTTGTACTTGAGAACTAATCCATGTAAGTATCAGCCAACTCACAACTGACCTGATTTTCACAAAAATAAGAAACATTTGTCTGGGCTCTACCATATCAGATCTCAGACAGAGGCTCAGTAATGGAACAGTCCTGTGAACTGTAGTTTACTCTGAAACATTCCTGCGCACTAAAAAGTAATTAATAAAATTCACTTCATATAGAAAATGGACATGCTCAGAGAGAAGGGCTTTTTGCCTAATCTCTCTAACATGGATTGTTTCCCATATGCAAGGACTGTTTTCGTATATAGGAAGCATTCCATCCTGTGAGGCTCCCCCATTGCCCAGACAGGCAATACATTTCTGTCAGAATACACTTCTGCCTCAGTTCAAATCATAAATCTGATTTCCAGAGGGCGCCCCCCCCCCCAGCTTGAAAGGACATCTCCATCTGAAGACTCATATTTCCATTTCTGGTTCAAACATCCATTCTTAGTCATTTTACATGCTATTCAGGTTTGTATCTTGAAGACGTTAGCAACTAGTCCTTAAAACTTCACATGGTGTTAATGGCAACGGATGCCCAGTGGTATAATTGACATCTCAGCCCTTGAAAAATGTCCATACATTGAGGAACCTGTCTCTGTGCTCATGTATTTTACAACTGAAAAATGTTTACATCTCTGGAGGACAACTCCTTGAATTCCCCAGCCATTATAGCCAGGACCTAGGGGATTCTGGAAATGGTAGTCCACAGAATAAAAATGACAAGTAGGGGTGTGTCATTCCAAATTCTCCAAGAATTCCTATAGCTGGACCTTGTCCTTTGAGGCTGTATGCCTCATTCCCCACTGCAGTGCTTCCTGGGCATAATTGTCTTGCTGCCCTTTAAGCTGCCTAGAAGGTTACTCCCAAAGAGCTACCAAGCACAGGAAGCTTTGCAACAGGAAATGAGGCCTAGCATGCTATACAGCTTCAAAGGACTAGGTCCATACTCTGTAGATAAGGGTCTGCGAGCTGGAACTCCCAGAATTCTCAGAGACTTTTTAACTTCAAGTCCCAGAATTCTCAGGGATAGTTAAATCATTCAAAAATAAAAAAATAAAAAAGGGAACGTTCCATCACTAATGGCAACTTGCATTTTCAGAGATGAAGGGCATATTTTATGCCTTTAGATGCTCTTTGCAACTGATGTTATATGTATTCAGGAACTGAATCTTGGTTACAAAATATACTGTACCAAGAAGGCCATGGATCTCTTCCAAACAGCTACTTCTTGAAGCTGTGTTGGGACCAAATGGGAAGTGCAAGTGGGAAGCTGTGTAAGATATTTTCAGACTTTTATCTGTTTAGGCCAGGGGTTTACTTGGATCACCAGCAGTTCACCGAGGTCTCAAGAAGAGCTCTCCCACTGCATCTGCCACCAGATCCTTTTAAAGGAGAGATGCTAGAGACTGAAACTCAGACTTTGCTACATGCAAAACAAAGCTACTTCCACTCTTTCAAAGTGGGTGGAAAAGTCCTCACATGAACAGGAACCAACTAATATGGAGAGTTGTTGGGAATCATATGCCAAGAAGTTTAGCTGATAGCTCACCGAGTTGCTGTGTCGGTCACAAAATGCTTGTAATATGGGAATAATGCAGAGGGTGATAGCCTACCTTGCAGGACTGCTGTAAAATGCCAGAGTTACTTTTCTGGGAAATCCATTAAATATTTGTGATACATAAATATTACTATCATCATCCTTTGTTCTGGGTCACAGCTGCTGTGCCACCACTGCTGACCCTGCACATCTGTCTCCAGAGCAGTTCCACCTATTTGATCTGGTACATTTTATGCCCGAAGCCAGAAACAGACATTAGAGATAGCCTGTGACTAGCAGAGAAAATCCTTAACTAATGGAAAGTGTTCCAAGTGTCACAGCAGGACAATGTCTCCATTCTGAGAGCGTGCAGAGTATGCTGGGTGCCTTCCCACAGGACAGCTTTGCCTTTATTTAATTCATAATGAAATATTACATTCTAATTTTTTTAAAAAAATTAGACAGCAAGATTTTCATATCCCAAGCTACTTGTGGATTCTCTATGTGGTCGTGGATGTTAGGCCTTTTGATTCTATATGTTTACCAGTATCGTTCATAAGCATATTGCTGTCAACAAGGAAGCGTCCAGTAAATGCTCAAAACAACTTTGATGTTTTCACCTACCAATACTTGAACAGTAATTGTACACCACAAAACTGGATTATGTTGCTGTGCAGTCATTTAATTTTCCTTTAGATCATGCATAACTTGGGAGTCCTATAGTGACTGGATAATATGCAGACCGTATAATATTTTTCAGTGACAGAAACCAAACCAGATTCATTAAAAACAATATCACAAGTTATCTTTTCACAGGAAAATAGGCTGTATAATCATACAACCGTTTCCACACACTCTTCATCTTTTTAAAAAAGGTCAGCTAGAGATGAGTGAAGCTTAGGGTTTGATTCTGCCAGGTACGTGTTTCCTAGTTAGCAGAAGGAAACCAATGAATTTACTTTGTTCCTGGGACTTATTCCCAGTTAATTCCCAGTATTGCAACCTAAATGTGGTCTTTCAACTTAGCAAATACCTTTTTGCATACAGAAATCCAGAGTTCAAATACCATATGTACTTACATCAATTTTTATAATTGGACGAATGTTTTTATAGCCTACACAGTTGGCAGTTTTGTCTTTGGTTTTTCCTCCTAGTTTACAGGACTGCCTGTTAGTTCAGGGTTGCCATACAGGCTCAAGATCTTATTGGGTACCTTGGCATCTCCAGAGCAGTTTGTGCCCCATCCATATACAATGAAGGTTGGCATCTTCAGGACTGTAGGATACCGACATCCTAAATAGGTAAAGGAAGCAAGCTACTGCATGCCTCAGCACCACCCTGTTGTCCCCTCTTCCATTTAAATCAACACAAATTTAAAAACTGTGCAACCCTTAAATGTCATTTTGTACAGGAAGAAAGGTACAATATAGGTGGTGGTGGTAGCAGCGGCAGCCTTTGGTTTTTAAAAAATGAGACAGACAATGCATGTTTAATACTAGGAGGATGGTGGAGAGTTACATCTGTTTCTGCATGAATCAAAGACATTTGGGGATCAAGCAGAGGTCTTTGAAAAAGAGAGCTTCAATAGTTCAAGCGAGGGATGCTGTGGGAGCTGAAGATTCGGCAGCAAAGATGTAGGGTGGAACAGTTTGGCAATTTTTTAAAGCTAACCATTACTCTTACCACTCACACATACACCCCTTTAAAACTTTATTTAATAATTTGGTAAGTGCAAATGAATTCTGCCCCAGAACAAGTGACATTTGCCCACTCCTAATTTCAACTGATACCACCTTTTAATGTTCAGGATCATCATTTCTATGTAGATCACTTTACTGCGATAGCTACATAATCATTAGAACCATGAAACAGATCTCATTTCTGTTAGTGGAAAGACTTATTCACTAGATTATGTACATAATAAAGCCAAAAATAGTATTATTTTTGTACACTGGTACAACATTCTCAGCATTTTGCTGCACTGACTACTCATATGCTGCAGCTGTTCCTTTGTTGTGTTAGTATCTTGTCACTTGCATGAGTAATTACTTTGGAGCCTGTTCAAAAAAATCAAAACTGACATTTGCAAGGATGTGAAAAAATCTTTCAAACCACTGGAGCATTCAGAATGTCTATACGTGTAAAAGAAGAGCTTTTTAATAACCCAATAGATGAGTCCTTCTCTGTCAGATGCATGAAATATTTGTTATGTAATAAATAAGAGGAGCAGTATGTCCTTTCTGGTATGTTTCCACCACTTTCTGTCATGCCTAAAGCATTTCTGTGACCTAAATCATGTTGAGGATTCAAAACAAACGCACTTTGTCCTGAAATATATAAAATAAAAAATTTAACATTTACAAAGTAAATTGTATATGTATTTATATATATAGACACAGGGAGGGAGAGAGAGAGAGAGGGGAAAAATGCAGTGTTCAGAATACTGGTATTTCTTTTTTATTTAAGAAGAGAATAAAGCATTTTTAAATATATTAATTTAAAGTATACTACACTTAAACTGGGATGCTGGTTTGCACATTAACAGTGTTCAAAACTGAAGATGACTGCAATGGCCCCTCCCACCCTAAATACCAATGCAACAAAGAGATGCCTTCAGAACAAATACTGGTTCAAAGTCTCTTAGTAGAAAGGTAGTAAAGGAAAATTAATCCAAACACCAGCAGGTATGATGACAAAAATGCAGAGCAAAATAAATGCTCCAAGACAACCAACTTCCTTTGTTACTTTTTACAGATTACTGATTTTTTTTTACTGTAAGGCATGAAGGTTTTGTTGTATGGTTACCAAAGTGGTCGCCACAGTCATGTGTATGGCTCCTAATACTTCGAAGTTTGGGCCACATCAAGGGTACAAAAGAAGTTTTGGCATTAAGTAACCAATGAAGAATCTATCTGGAACACGGGCCTCTGGGCAGGCTAATTCAAAAGTACTTTCACATATTACAAAAGTGACTTCAACTGGCTGAACACAAGAACCACAGAGTTTCCCATGGCAAGAATGTAGCACACACATTACGAGATGAAAATCAGGGCGCAAAAGAATGAAAATGCTCACTCTGCCTTAACCACTGACTTCCCATACAACTGTCTTCTTACCCTGTATTTACTGAGTTCAGAAAAAAAAACTGGCTTCAGTTCAAAACCAGGTCTAGGTTAATGAAATGTTAAAAGCACAAGCAAGAGGCAAAAATGGCAAAGACTGCTACGATGACAGCTACCTGTAAGAATTTGTGGTCCTCAAGCCACTTGCTCAGGCTTGGTAGCGTTAGCTACTGCAAACAATGTGGTTTGAGTCTCACAGTCAAAGAAAGAGCCATGTCTATGAATGAGAGAATATGAAGACCGTATGCTGACAATAATCAAAAGGCAGACTGAAATCTCATTTACACTAGAATAATTCCAAAGGAACCCCCACAGACTTTGGGTTTTATTCAGGTACAGATAAAACTGGTCCGAAATATCTTCAAGTATAATACTGCTCGGTAAGTTAAAACTCATTGCTACAGTTGCTCCCTCACAGGTGAGAACTCTGCTATGTGCACCCTAAGCTTAGTGAAATATAATACTGCTTATCTTCACATGTACATGTGACCATAAGTAAATGCTGCTTAACTATATGTGACTAAAGGAGCTCAGTTCTGCAGTTCTATGAAATACATACTGATGATGATTCCTGAGACTGGAGAGAGACTTTCTGTGTACAAATATGTGGTATATGTATACACGAATTAAAGAGTGCCTTTGAAAAAGGCAGCTTAGCAAATGGAAATCTAATTAACAAGTGAGCGTGTGGAATATATTAATATTAGTACTAAGGAAAACTGAACTTGGTGTTTTTGCAGATTTACTCCTACTTCCATGAGGCACCACTATTCTCTCTTTGCACACTCATGCAAATCATGTCTTAGGAGCCAGCCAGAAAAGATAATAAGGAATAATCACTTGAACAGCAAGGCATAGAAAATCAACACCCTTATGAAGACAAGGGTGTCTTCCAAGCCAGTAATAGCACTTTTTGTTTGGCTTATGAAGAAGCCCAAGCTACATGAATAAAAGTGATGACAACTTAGACAATTAAAATCCTAGAGCAAGTGTAAATCCTGTGCGCACTCTATCTTGATATATGTCTAGAACAAGTAGGTATGTTTGATGAAGATGTAATTAGTCCAACATTTCTCTTCAAGTTTTTCCAGTTGCAATGAACCTGCATTGTAAATATTGAAAAACCTGACCAATAAGAGAGAATGGCTTAAATAGGAGGAACATGTTCCCCTTCAGGAAAGAGAACAGCCCATTTAAAAGTCTCACTGATGCATCGTGTGGGTTCTTTGGGGTGGGTGTGTGGAAATATGGAGAAAAAAAAGAGAAAGATTACATGAACTGAAGTTGCCTCTTTCAAAAACAAAAGGAAGAAAGGAAAGAAGAAGGAGGAAGAAAAAAAAAAGATTTTCCCTCCTCTTACGTTCTGTAGACATTCCAGGCCATTTAAAGGTTGACCCCTTTGCTATTTGCAGGAAGGAATAGCAACTGTTAGAGAAGGTGAGGCCGTGGCTCATTGATCAAACACCGGTTTTTAACTGCTGCTGCAGTGATGTGCAGGCATTCCTGCTAAAATCTTGGATACCAGTGACAACATCTAGCTTTCGCAGCACATTCAGGCACCCAGGCAAGCTTGGACTGCTGAATTCAATAATTTCTAGGAGGATATGAGCTGTGTTAGTCTGCTGCAGGAAAACAACAACAAGAGTTTGGTGGTACCTTCAAGACGAATACATGTTGTAACATAAGCTTTTGGTGGACATCAGTGAGCTTGTGCTATAATAAAATTTTGCTACTCTTTAAGATACCACAAGGCTCTTGGTTGTTTGGACGTAAAATATAGGACTAGGCTCTTCCCACACTTGGAACACTCCATCCATGAGGTTTCCTTTTTGTGCAAAACATCAGTGCGAGAAGCTTCCAAGTCTGGGAGGCAGAAGGCCATGGAATGTTTCCTGGGGCTAAAGAGAAGCGCTTGATGTTGAATCCATAGATGAAGGAATACAAAAAGTGACAGGCCTCATTTACTGGTCTTCTTTTTCACCTTTGTGGCATTGATGTCTGCTTTTGTCTTCTGGATTCGGGAGAAGATCTCTTTGAAGAGGGCTTTGTACTCCGGCTGGCTCTGCTCTAGCCTCTTGTCCACCGCCTCCACATGTTTGCTAAGGCTCTTCTCCATGGTCTTGAGCTCATCTAGCTCATAACCTTCTCCCCGGAAGTCTCTAAAGGAGCTGTCCCGAGAGATGGGGCGAGAGGTTTGGACGCCGGCATGGCGCACGCTGTCCTTGTGCTGCCGGCACTTGCTGAGGAGCTCCTCATACTTTTCCAGAAGAGCGTGGTATTGTTCATCCACTTCCCTAAGGATGGACATCCCCCTTTTGCGTACGTTATTGGCATGGAGTGTGTAGTTGCCTTCATGGCGGCTGACAGCATCCTTGGTCACTATGGCATTGAGGGCTGTGTCGCTACAACTCTTCCTTACAGGATGGTTAGGGGAGGCTGCCATGGATGAGTCATGGCTTTTGCCTCCATCTTCCTCAGAGAGGTCAATGTAGTCAGCTTCCGGAGCATTGTTTAATGGTTCCAGAAGTGCTTCTGACAAGTTGTCCTCTCTGCTGAGAAGATACTTCTTAACCTGTTTCATCTGCTGGAGTTCCAGTAACTCTGCTTCCAGCTCTTTAATGCGCAGCTTGCAGCTCTCCATCTCACACACCCGCTGTTCCAGATCTGAGTACTCCTGGATGACAGATGTATATTCTCTCTCCACTCTTTCCTTTCGCTGCTTCTCCTGGTTGACTTGTGACCTGAGAGTATTTACCATGGCTTGCAGTCGCTCATTCTCACGCTCCAAGGGCATCTGATTGAACTCCATTGAAGAGCTGTGAAGCTGGAATGCATCTTCGTACCTAGTATTGAAAAGATAGCAGTCATTAACAAATTATCAGTGAAAGAGGTATGTAGCTTTGTGGTTTTGGGAAGTAATTCACAGAATTCCCAAGGGTATGCTATATGGAAAATTCTGCAAGTAGTAGTCCAAATATATAAATCTGCACACCTCTAAACCATGGTATGTGGGTATCTATGCAATAACTATAAATTTACTGAAATACATGGCTAAATTACCTCTGTGTGACAAAATAATGTTGTTTGCTGGACATTACATATATCGCTCACCCCAAGGATGAGATGTTACATATAATCTCTTACACCCCATTCATTAACTCATTAATTCATTCATTAAATACAGGCTTTCTTTCTTTCACAAAAGAGATCTTAGGCAGCCTATAGTTAGCTAAACAAATCCAATAAAAGAAAAGCATGCACACACACACACACAAATAAGAACATAACAAGTTAAAATAAAATTTAGAAGCTGCTATAAATAGGCACCATCACGGTGGGAAGGTAATGGTGTTCCGTGTCTAGTCGTGCTGACCACATGACCACAGAAACTATCTACAGACAAACGCTGGCTCTACCGCTTGGAGACAGGGATGAGCACTGCCCTGCCCTCTAGAGTCGAACACAACTGGACTAAATGTGAAGGGGAACCTTTAACTTTACCTGATCCACCAGTTTTCTACATACAGGACATTTTCTCCAGTCAGGATACCAACATGTGATCCCATGCCTGCATCTGGATCTTTCTTATTGTTACCAAACATCAAGTGCAGAGAACAGAACCGTATGGAGCTTTCCCATACATACAGAGATTGATACTTAAGTGGGTACTAGGGCCCAGCTCCTGTTGCATACACATAAATCCCGGGAAAAGCTAGCAGGAGGAGTGAGCCTAAAATGTCTGGTTACATGGCCCAACCGTAAGGTACTGTGCACACCTCTGCTCTCACTCCTTCCTAACTCCTCCTGCTCAGACACAAATAGCTAAGAATACACAAATGAAAATGTTGGGATTGACAGAAACTTGACTTGGAGGAAATGAAGCTGTCACTACATATTTTGCAGAGCAGCTTTCTCATTGGGTGGAGGGAAAGAAAGACAGAGAAATAGATGCCACCCCTGGAAAGACAGCCATCTGGATGGGCCGTGAAAGCACATGATTGGGAATTGTGTCTCTACTCTTCAAATATCTGGCTTAGCTTGAAAAGGAAGAAAGGCATCTTGGCAAATTCATGTCTCTCTTCAATATATTAGCAATAAACTACTGGACTGCCTGCAATCTCGGGAAATGAAACAGAAAAGAGTTCTGCTACTGCTTCAAACAACTGATGCCCTGCACAGATTCACTGGTCACAGTTCAACCGTCAACAACAGAGGCTGGTCTAGATACTTCTCTTCAAAACATTTTTTTCCTACTGTTCTCTGCAAATGAGTACACAGACAGCCACAAACGTAGCCTTTCATATATAAAATTACTATGATTTATATGCTGCCATCTCTACATATGATGCTTTTGAGAGTAACAAGAAGCAATAAAAAAGGCTGTGCTTTTCACAAGCTAATTATGAACCATGGATAAGACAAACAGAAGCAGAAAAGGGTAAGAAGGGATGAAAGGAAACAAATGGAGGTTACCTGTCTTTAGGAGTATTTTTGAGAAGGGAGAGAGGAGAGGCAAAAGGTGGGCTAAATGCTCCATAGATACGATGGGGGGAGGACTTTGTAACGCTGAAGAGAAAATCAGCAAAAAAATGACTAGTCATATTTTATCATGTAAATGCTGACACATAGACTCCCGTTTCGCTATCTGTACACAGCATTTAAAATAATAGGAATAATAAGAATAAATGACTTACTGGTCACTTCTTGTTTTTAAAAATGGCTATTTCTTGCCTTGAAAAGCATCCTAATGCCCTGAAGCTCATAAATGGCTACATCATGTCTCCTACAGGCATCTAGGTATGACTCTTCATTTTCAGCACAAGGACAGTGTGTGCCATGCAGGCGTCCAAACCTCTCGCCCCATCTCTCGGGACAGCTCCTTTAGAGACTTCCGGGGAGAAGGTTATGAGCTAGATGAGCTCAAGACCATGGAGAAGAGCCTTAGCAAACATGTGGAGGCGGTGGACAAGAGGCTAGAGCAGAGCCAGCCAGAGTACAAAGCCCTCTTCAAAGAGATCTTCTCCCGAATCCAGAAGAAAAATCCTTTTTCGGAGGGGGGGGGAGGAAGAGGTGATAGGGAATGACCCAAGGTGTGTTTGTGTGTGTGTGTGTGTGCGTGTGTGTGTGCGTGTGTGTGCGTGGTGTGTGTGTGTGTGTGTGTGATATTTGTTTTCTGAAATACATGTCAGGACCACTCCCCCAGTGATCCCTGGCACAATTGTCACTAGTGATCTAAGCCAAACGGGGGGAAAAACGGGCTTGAGAAGATTTGAACAAAGCCTGGCACAACTGCCACTAGTGGTCTAAGCCAAACGGGGGGAAAAAACGGGCTTGAGAAGATTTGAACAAAGATGCTGATAATGATGTACAGCAGGAACAAGAAAGACATTGTGTCTCTTCGTTGTTTATTGGAGACACTGTCTAACAGACGACTGCAACGTGATGACTGCAAGGCCTCTCTTTTTAGGTAAGCTTCTAATCATGGAACACAACAGAGTCTTCTAGCAGGACAGCTAGCAGTACCTTTGTTTTTCTTAGTATTTTGGAACTGTTTTTATTAGCAGTTAAAATATTGCTACATCTGTAATTTTTACTGTTACTATGTTTTTAATTATACTTGCTACCAATTATTTGTGAGCTGCTTTGAGACTCTGTATTAGGAGAAAAGTGGTGCATGAATCAAACAAACAACTGTAGCAAATCACATAGGCCAGGCTAAGATCATTCTGGACACCAGCGGGGCACAATGGTTTACTTGCAAAATAACATGAGATCCCTTGCTTGGAAGGGTGGCCCTTGCCCAAGCAGGGTCCGCCATTACTATTATTTGATTTAAATCTGTGCAATCAGTTCAAAGATCAAACTGCTTGTGAGCACAAGCAGTTTGAAACTTTAGGATCCTATAGCAGTGCTGGGCATGCTTTGCAAAATTTCTTTCAATTTTTTTGATTGATTTCTTTAAGAGGCCATAGGGAAAGAGAGGAAAAAGGTACATGTCACCATGGAGTTTGGACCACTCACCTCTGAAATTCTGACTCTGTTTTGAAACTTTAAGCCTGTAACATGCCTTTGAAGCTGGGTGGGAGGACAGTTATAAAAAAAGGACAGGGAGAAAGACAATCCCACTTGAATAAAGCATCTCTTGTGGCTGTTTCATAATAATGAAAATCAACCCCAAGCTTGCATCTTCTCAGCATATTATTCTTCCTTGTCTCCTAATAAACAGCTCCTGGCAAATTCATTAATTCAAACAGATGTGAGGTGGGATGAGCCATACTCTCTCTTCCTGGTCTCATTTCCCTCTAGATTTGAATTTGTGGGTTGCAAGTGAATATCAAAAATTATCCATATGTCTAGAAGTCAAATATGACCCAGAAAAATCTGAATGCATTGATTTGGATTAGTTTAGCAGATCTACGTGACAAAACCTGAATCAATTCCTTCTACCTCCATTCCATTTCAAAAATATTTTCCCTCATGTTTGAACTTTCTTCATTCATGTTTTTTTTAAATATTTGTTTTCTGAAATACATGTCAGCCTGCTGTCAAGTTGGAAGCAACTTATAGAAACACTAATATGGCTTTCAATGTTAAGTGAGGTATTTAAGGTTTTACCAGTTCCACTCCCCCAGTGAGCTCCCATGGCTGGGCAAGGGATTCAGACCTCGGTCTCCAGAGTCCTAGTCCATCACTCTATCCACTACACCAGTGGTCTCCAACCTTGGGCCTCCAGATGTTCTTGGACTTCAACTCCCAGAAATCTTGGCCAGCAGAGGTGATGGTGAAGGCTTCTGGGAGTTGTAGTTCAAGAACATCTGGAGGCCCAAGGTTGGGGACCACTGCACTACACCACACTGGGTATCCCAAGAAATGAACATATCATGTTGCTATTTAATTTTTACCTCCAACAAGGTTTAAAAGTTTCAGAACTGCTCTGGGAGGGAGGGAGGGATCTGTGACATCAAACTTACCAGCCAATCAACACTAAACACATGTTGCTTCTTCTAAACTACAGAATTACTCTCAGAGTTCAACCTTGGAAGGAAGTATTTCACAAAAAGGTCAATGTGCTTCCAAAGTACAACTCTTGTTTTGGGGCACACTTAAATGCAACGTTATTCAAGTGATCCCATTCAGGGGGGTCAGAAGAACCTATATTCCACACAACTGTTTTTCCAACCATGTGATAACACCTCATCTGCACCTATGTTTTTATCACTTACTACTGCCAAACCTAGACACTGTGTTAGTATGGCTATCCATAATGAAATGCCCTATACTGTGCTATCTATGTATTTATGTATTTTATAATATTATTTTTTCTATTGGATACCACTTTGAAATATTGACGTCTAAGTGGTTTATAAATACTTGGAAAACCCCATCAAGAAAAAGGTGAGGATAGCTCTTCTATGGAGACAAAATTGCTATAATTACTAATACCCTGTTTTACTGAAAATAAGCCCTAGTATAATTTTTTTCAAGATGCTCGTAATATAAGCCCTACCCCCAAAGTAAGCCCCAGTTAAGTGAATCCCTGCCCTCCACGATGGTGCAGCAACCAGAAGAAGATGACATGACTGTATTTGAATAAATGTATATTGTTGTGCATGAAAAAAAAATATCCCCTGAAAATAAGCCCTAATGTGTTTTTGGAACAAAAATGAATATAAGACCCTGTCTTATTTTTGGGGAAACATGGTATGAAAAAAAATTGTCATCTACTATAAATACTTTGGTTTCCCTAGAGTCCAAACATCAGTTTTTGGACCTTGTTGCTGCTTGATTAATTACATTCACATCCCACATTTCCACTAGAAAATAGCACTCAATGGGGCTTACAATCTATATAAAAGAATAAAAACCAAGGAAAACAGAATTTAGCCATAAAATCAAGTAAAACCAGCCCTACCATTGAAAAGCATTAAAATGAACTAAATGTTTTAAAACCTTTAAAACCAATGAAGAGGGGGGAAAGACGACACAGCAAGAAGGGTTAAACATCATATGCCAATAAAAACACCCTTTTTGAAATCAGTCAGAGGGGAAACTGATCGGAGCCCTTTTCCATGTGCTTGGTAGGCAGGCAGGACTCTGAAAGAGTTGGTGTTCTTAAAAGTCCTCTTGAGATCTTGATGTCCAAAGCAGTTCATAATGAGAGGCTCAAAATGAAGTAAGTCCCCTCTTTCACTAAAGTTTCTTTTTATGCCTCCTTCACTCAAGAGAATTTAAAAGGTGTGACTACAAAATAACTTAAAACAAGTTGGATTAAACACAAGAAGGCTACCAATGATACAAATCAGAAAAGGTGCTGGGAGCTACGCTATTATTTTCTTTGGTAGTGGACTGCATGACTGATTTTTGGTGTTGTTTAAAAAGTGAATATTTTGAGAGAAGTCATGGTCGGCTGTATGAACTGACAGGGGGGCCAGATGTGGCCCATGCCCCATATGTTGCCTGCCCCTGGTATCCTGGATGGCAATGTGGAAGAAGGGAAACAAGACAGATGTACATGTTGGAATGAGTTTACTGGATTTTAATGTTCTTTTTTTTCATATATAATTTAACCGCATGTGTGTTAGCAAGGGGTTTTGGTATATTACAGTATGAAACTGTAATGGTAACCTCTTAATAATTATTATTACGCTTATTTTTTAAACATACATCCTATCAACACCTAAGCTCTGCTACTTCACAAAATGCTGCTGATTTTCTTCCATCTGCCAGCAAAGTCTGTGATGTGTGAATGTAAAACACTTCAAACCAGGAAAACTGTTAAAATACATATTTCTCATTTGAACTACTATGTTTTTTCACCAAAGCGGAATTTTCAGAACAACACAGATGGTGACAACCCTTAAACACAGTAAAGTGCCCGAGTGTCTTCTGTTTTGTTTGCAGTGAACTGGAATGCAATCATCCTTGAAATGTTCCAAAATTGAGAGCCACTTTTAAGCATGTACCGTATTTTTCTGTGTATAAGACTATACTTTTGTCTAAAATCTTTAGGCTAAAAATGGAGGGTCGTCTTATACACGGAAGTAAGCTGAGGAGAGAACAAAAACAAGTGGAGGGGAAAGCAGGGATCAAAGTGATCCTGCAGGGCTTTTATCCCTTTCCTTCTACACTTGCTAAGCCCCACTTAGATTTCTTAATGTTGAATTAGAAAAGTGGGGGCGTCTTATACATGGGGGTGTCTTATACATGGAAAAATACCGTAATCGCCTATACAATTGGGAAGGAAAGAGGCAAATGCAGAGGATGAGATTTAGAAAAACAAATCACTGGCATTTACATCTGTAATTTTACTTATAGGCGGGCTGTAGTATTCAGCAGCAAGGACCTGCTGTCCAAGCTCTGCTGCCTCTTCTCTCCCCATGGCAGAGTACCTGGGGCTTGAACACAGCTCCTTGAGACAAGGGAATGTATGGATGGTTCGGCGCCTCTCTCTCTTCTCCCGGCGGACCCGAAGCTGATCGAGGCTCTGTAACTCTTCTACCTGTTTTTGTAGCTCATCCACCTGGTTCTGTAGCCCTTCAATGGTTTCTGTCAGGCTGTCAAAGTCAGTGGCAACGTGATTGGAAAGAAAAGAAAGAATGTTAGATAGAAGTACGGATCCAGCGTGATTGGAAAGAAAAGAAAGAAAGAATGTTAGATAGAAGTACGGATAACTTTTATGGCACATAAAATATAGCGCTGAAACAGGACTCATAATAAGCCTTTCATTTTCCCCAAGTGGTAACTATCTGAAATGTCTAGTCTGAGGAACGCTTTCATACAGCCTTAAACATAAAATATATTTAGATCCTTCCCCTCTTCCCCACTGATACATGGCAGTGCTTTCTTATTACTATTCACACAAAGGCATTCACACTTTATGCACTGACATACTAAAAAATTAGTATTTTCTGTTGTACAAGGTTTTAATCCTGGAAGTGTTCTATGATACTGAGAGCATGGTCATGCTGTTAGAACCTTGGAAGCTGTCTTACATTTGAGTTAGACCTTTTGTCCATCTACTGTACACAAGTATTTTCAGGTCTAACTATCAAAAAAACAGCTTTCTAGGGTTGCAGGCAGGACTCTTCCGTAATCCTTTATGGAGACCCCTGGTACGTCTTGCTGGTCTCCCATCCAAGTTCTGACCAAGACTGGTCCTGCTTAGCTTCCAGAAGCACTCGAGACTGGCACGTTCAGGATGGTAAGAGTTCAAGGCTAATCAATAGTTTTAAATTTTTACCCATGTTGATACTCAGCTTCATGGTATGGAGAAATCACAGCACTAGAATCAGTAGATAACTCAGTTCCCTCACAAGTCTCTTTCTCTATCCATTCACTCACTCATTCTTATTGGAGAGTAACTCACAAAATTCTTATTTAAAACTGTTCTCTCAATAAAAGAGGGGGGGGAGAGAAAGCTTTTGCACAGTCATCTAGGCAGAAGTCTACAGAAATCAAAGTTGCACCGATCTCCTTAAAGGGGCCAGCAGAAGTATAATTACCATTGGATCTTTTGCTGAGATGCCTTGCTTTCCAGCATAAGCTTCTGATTCGCCAGTTCTAGGTCTCGTGCAGTCATATCCAGCTGCTCATAGACTTTGGCGTGCTGTTCATTCATGTGCCGTAACATTTCCAGTTGTTTTGTCAAATACTGAATAAAAAAAAAAGGAGAGGACGAATCCCCATTAGGAATACAGTGCTAGGAAAAAGCTATTAGTAAAGCCACAGTGTTGAGTGATGGATGAGACAGATCAGTTAAAACTTTTGATTGACTAAAACTATCCTCCTGACTAACTAGGTATTATATTTATTGAATTTCTGAATGTTTAGTATAAACAACTGGGGGGGAAGGTAAAGTGCAGCTACTTCCTGTGAAAAGTCCAGGCTTTGGGTGTGTATAATTTGCATTCTGTACCCCATATTTTGTTTCTCATAGGCTATTTCAAGCCTTAGAACATTTTTTTAAATGAGGAAGTGCTCAGCCACCCTATCTGTTTCTAAAAAACATGTTTCGAGAAAGCTGGTATTCCTTATAAAGACCCACAGACAGAAAAATAGGGAGTTTTTATTTCTCTATTTCCCTCAAATTCTCTGTAATAAACTTTCCTAAACACTCTTTTAGCTGGCTGGGTAGCTCAGTGAGTTACAGCATCTGGGTAAGGAATGTGTTAGGAGGCTGATTCTACGCTGTCGTAGAAGAGCCAGGCTGCGAAGCCTTGACAAGCTGCATAGTCCCAGGGCATTCTCGGAAATAAGGAATTGCAAACTGTTTTTAAGAACTCTTGATTACTGGAAAACATTGCAAAGGATTTCCAGACGTTGGAACTGATAGCATGTAATTATCATTATTAAATGTTAAGAGTCCATTTTCTTATCCAAAAATACTAGCCCCTTACCCTTCTCCCCATTTTCTTACCTTAGTTTCAATCCTCATTCCCTCAAAATTTACAATTTGTGGATTAAGCAAATGTCGAAACAGGAAATAGAATTTAAACCAGAAATATTTTATTGGGATTACAAATAAAAATATTTGTATTGCCAAACAACACAAATACACAAAGCTAATACTTAATACTACATGTTTTGACAGCAGCTAGGTTAGGGCCTGGCGTCTGGTCCATGGGGTCACGAAGAGTCGGACACAACTAAACGACTAAGCGATGACGACAAGGTTAGTATGGGCACAGGTCTGGAAGGAGGAAAATCCACCAAAGGATGACATGATTATTAAGAAAATATTAGAAAGTGGAGAAATAGACAGATTAACAAAGAGATTAAAAGGACAAGAAAAGTCAACTTTTTACCTAAACTGGAATTTATTTTATGACTGGTGGAAAGCAGAAGACCCATAATAAAGAAATTAAAATGAATAGGATGGACAGGTTCTCACCAGAAAAATTATACCAATAAATAAGATTGCTTGTAGGTTAAGCTTATACTGTATGTTTACATCTTAAAGATACATGGTGTATCTACAGGATTTTAAGTTTTATGTTGGAAAATAAAATATATTTATAAAATTGTTTATAATTTTGGCAACTAAATAAACTTAATAAAATAAATCTTAACATTGCCTTAAACTAGAAAATGGGGCAGGGATAGTGGATACGTCAGGGGAAAACAGATTCATTGAGTGAGGACAGGAAAAATCAATTTAGCCCCACTTCAGGAGCTTTTTTGAAACTAATCTGGGGACTCTATGGAAGCTCAAAGTGACCCTCACTAAAGCTGCTGCTCAGAATGAAAACATATGGGGTGGGGGTGGGAGGGCTTCCCTGGAGTGAACAACACCAGCTTGCTGGAGGGCTTAATCCACCTCTGTTTCAGCCCCTTCCATATGTGCTCATCACCCCTCCCCCTAATATCCCATGTCACTCATATGGACAACACTGAAGCAGCGCAGATACTGCCTAAGCACTCATGCGTAGTTACATGTCCATGCTCCATGCGAGCCAGTGGCAAAAAAGGAAGCAAAACAGCTGCAGTGACTCAGATTATGTATGTGCCTGCCTTTCACTGGTGCCGGCCACCAGTACCTCTATCTCTTGTACTTGCTCCTCGTTGGTTGCGTACATCTGCTGCAAAGAATCCTCCAGTTCTTTGTTGCGTTCCAGCAGCGTCTTCCCCAGTTCAGCTGCTAAGTGCAAGTCTGAAAAGTGGGAGAAACAAAAGGCAGTGAAGATCTGTTCTCCAACCTCCTTGGAACAAGGTGTGAAGAAGTCATTTTACTTTAACTTTCCAAAGTTCTGGGAAGCTAAGAAAAGTACAAAAGACACACAACATTAAAAAAACCTCTGCAAACATTCACGACTAATATGCTGGTAAAAATAACACAAGGAATTACCTCAAGAATAACCAGAAAGACTCTTGCTATTTTATTTCATCATAAAAGGCACACTTCAGATGTTTTCTAGACTAGAGAGAATGAGGATGCTTACATTTTTCAGGAAGCGTGAACTTAGAATCTCACAGTACTGAGAAGAGCATCTGTGTATCAGGATCAGATACTTCTTCACTGACCCAGATTAGGCAGATTAGGGCGGCCAAAGATTCTGAACAATACAGAGCTGAACACAGTCTCCCACCACGGTTGATTGTTTCACAGGGAGGAAACATTACATTGCTCCAGAATTAAGAATTTATTCACTACTTACTCATAATTATTTATGATTTATTTATTTAGAAGCTGAATTGTGGGGCAAATGGTCCTACTTATGTATTCTCAAACCAGAGCACAGACAGAGTGCTGTCCTCTGAAGATGCCGGCCACAGAGACTGGTGAAACGTTAGGAATAACAACCTCCAGAACACGGCCAAAGAGCCCGAAAAACCCACAACAACCATCGGTCCTACTTATTCTTATGGGGGATAGCAAAAAGGCAGTTTCAACACTGAAGTATACATTACATTTTTTACTCTTTGATTTTACAGTTCATTAGCCATTCTGAAAGGCTGTACTAAAGAGTGCCATACACATCCCGTAATAATGATTACAACAACAACAACAGAACCAGTATAAACATACTTTCCAAGCTCTACACAAGGCAGTGGAAGACCAGAGTTTAGAAAAAGTTACTATACTGAACTACAACTCCCGGAACCTCCCAGGTGCCACTGGCATGGGCCACAGTGGCTTAGGAATTCTGGGAGTTGTAGGTTTGCTTATTGTTTATGGAATGTTTCTAAGCTGTACAAACAAAGCATTGATGCTTCCGTTGCAAGGGTAGTACATTAGTTCCCATATTCGGACAACTGCAGTGATGTCCCTGCTCTGTGCTGCTGCTCCCTCCTGTCATCCAAAACAAAAGACCATGAGGTAAGCCCTCAGCCCTGCAGCACCCCTGCCTCAGGGGTCTTTCTATAGAGATGGCTTTGAAGATATGAAATTCCCGAGCTGTGGAGGACTTTAAAATTAAAAACAGTTTTGATTTCAAGTACCTGATAAATCTAGTTTGGTCTCTACATCTTGTCAGAGGCTCAGCCATCATTGTCTGGGATGGAGAGAGAACTTTCTTTCTGTCCCCGTGTTGAGGCTGTGCCTTTCTCTAACTAACACACTTGTTGCTCTCGCCCTCCCCCTCCGCCTTCTGCCACTTGTTCTGACAAGCTTTCAACTTCCCAAGGGCTCAATTTTTAGTGAATTGCACCTTTGTTCCTAAGACATTTATCCACAGTGATTCTTTCCTGGTGTTACTGCATTTATTAGGTTTTTAGGAAGTTTCTAGATTTGTTTCCAAAATGCTACTTGTGTATTTTCAAACTGTGGTGACAATGGAGCAAAGTACAAATACATACAACAACAAAAATTAGTGATGATTAATGCCAAATGGGGTACTGTAAAAGCAAACTAGGAGATGAGTTTGTACCTTTCCAGGCAGTTAAATGCAATATTCTGTCACAGCAGTATGTTTGCTTATCAGATGTTCCTAGATGCTGAATGTATCCAGCCAGTTCTCTAAAGATTAGTGCCTTATACCCTGTTTCCCCGAAAATAAGGCCTATCAGTTCTCTAAAGATTAGTGCCTTATACTGTACCCTGTTTCCCCGAAAATAAGGCCTAACCTGAAAATAAACCCTAGTATGACTTTGCAGGATGCTTGTAATATAAGCCCTATCCCAAAAATAAGCATCAGTTAAGTGAAAGCCCACCCTCTACCCTTGTGCAGCAACCAGAAGAAGATGACATGACTGTATTTGAATAGATGTAGATTGTTGTACATGAAAAAATCCCCTGAAAATAAGCCTTAATGTGTTTTTGGAGCAAAAATGAATATAAGACCCTGTCTTATTTTCAGGGAAACACGTTACTAGTTAGCCTTATCGTTTACAAAGCAGTGTGGGATGTTGGGTCTACAGGTATTTTCAAAGGCTGACCAAAGCGCCACATTCTGCCCATCCTGCTTTTATTTCCTGAGTTCCATGTAGCCTGGGGATATTAAACCCTTCCTTTCCACCAGAGTCTTCACAGCTGATTTTTGTCACTGGCTGTCAGATCCCCTTTTTGTCTGTGAAAATGCAGGCAGACTGGTGGCATACTGGTGGCAGCTGCCCAGCCTGAGGCACACACGTGGCCAGAGACGCCTATGTTTGTCAAGGCATGTAACGGTACCTGCCCATTTAAGAAGGCGCCCTTGCTGGGACAGCACAGCTGTAGGGTAAATTGTCCTAATTATCCCACCTGGTGAGAGGCACAAGACGGCAGTGATGCCACCGAGGTGCTAATTGAATCTGCCTTTCCTCTTGGTTTCCCTGGACTTTAATGAGCAGGGTTTCTGGGTAGCTATTGTTCAGGATTGGTTGCTATAGCAGGAAAGAGAGAACAGAGATGGCCTTCCCCTTTCATTTTCCTCATGCTCCCCCTTCCTCACTAAGCTTCAGAACACAACTGGCAATTTTATAACCGAAATACCTTTCCTGAAATTAGTACTTTCCCGTTGCATAAAGTACCTCTGCTTACTTCAGGTAAAGATCATACAAGGGAATTCACTGAGCGTATTGATAACATACTTTATCAAGGTGAACTACATCAAGGTGACCACAGCCTGCCTTGCAGAGAAAGATGTTATGGTACTGTATGCAAGAACATATCTTATTAGAAAACTCATTTTTCTTGACTGCTTTCCAACTCATCAGGAAGAATGTAGGAGGCATTGATTCGTATTGCATCCAGAGGCCTTAGATTTAGGTTGTTGTATTTTTAACTACCAACTATATGTTCTTGCTTCTTTCTCAGAATCTGACCTCCAGCACTCATTATGATCTTCAGTCTAGGGTGAATGGTGAGAATTGACAGGCTCTTAATTTTGAATAATCATAATAATACAAAATGACCCTGGTCCGGCAGCTGCACTCCTCGAATGGGTCTGATGAACAGAGAGTTGCAATTACAGTTGGAGAGACATTTATAGAACCACCTCCAATGTTCAAAACGCCCTCAGGAAATCAAAAGCATGACAAATGGATTAGGACTGAAAGAGGAAAAGATGTCAAAAGAGAAATTTCATATTCATTAGCTCCTCGGGTTGTGACTGAGAGCCTCTTCTTCACTTCATAATGTATTTATTACAGATGATAGAGACCCTGCCGATTTTTACTCCGCACAGCTTGACTGGGCCGGCATGGTAGGCACCAACCCAGAAGCGGTCACGCTGCTTCATAACATGTAGAAAAGCTCAGGGTTCTCCATGTCTCCTGGACAATTGTGTCACTCTCATCTCACCATATGGCATTCAATTTAATCTGCTGGGGGTGAGTTAAGTGGATTAGGATCTGGCATCATGATTTTCAAAACTGCTTCAGGAATAATTTTGCAAGAGCTGGAATAAGTACAAAGAAACAGGAGAGGATGGAGAGACAAGGAGGAAGAGATCCATGCAGATCTCTGAAGGAAGGAAACCATTTTATTTTTTCACAGAACAGAGTACAGTAATACTGCATAGAAAGACAAACAGTGTTTGAGTTTAAGAAGTTTTAAGGAGGTTTCTTGAAAAGCTATCCATCTAGTGATTTTGTATGCCAGAATACATGTATGCAGATGAACACACACATGAAAGACCAGTAAAAAGGTTGTAATGAATTTAAATAACCAAGACTCACCTTGTTTTTTTCACCGCATTACAACTGGGAGACCCTTCTATAAAGATATGAAGCCTCTCTGCCCCTATGTAGATATGGGCTTTTAAAAAAAACTGAAATCAAATAATATAACCCTTTTGTTTGCCATAATATTTTCCATTTTCAACTTAAATTTTGTTAGTATTTGCCTCCATTCCTCTGTTATTTCCCTTTGTCCATTTTAGCTTGTAAACCCATTGGAGTAAGGACTTATTACATCTATTCCTTGGGAAAGATTATGTATACAAATGGCACTAAATAAATAAAGAAACAGCAACAATAAAACATCTAAGCCGCTTACAGTTCCATTTCTAACACTAGGCAATTATGGTATGATAAAACAAAAGCTCTTTGGACTTCATAAATATATCAAACAGCACTATTTTATGCTAAGCTGATTTTTTTGTAAATTGAAATTTTTTGCTAAGTCATAACCCAACATTCTCTGGGCAGTTACATGTAATATAGTTTATGTTTTCAAAGTGGTAAAAGAGTCAAGGCTTCAAAATTGAAGCAACAATTATGAGCAATTTCCCCCATTTTCTCTCTGTGTTTTCCTACATGGTTCTACACTTATATACACATTAACTTTTTAATTTCTGGTACATTGCAATTAATTCTAGAAATGTTCAATTAACTATAATTTGCCCATTTCGCGTGCACTTGGAAACAATGGCTGGAATTCTGTTGTATATTTACACAGGCATAACACCAGCGGTGTATCTTTTAATGGAAAAGTTATGCAAATTAAGAAGTCAGTGAAGGCATTTCCCATCTGTAAGACCCCAGGCCAGGGCCAGGAGGCTTATGTGGGAGTGCCGTCGCTCCCATCACGTTCTAACTAACGCAACTCAGACGTCCCCCCCCCGCCTTCCCCACCTAGAAAAGAGAACAAACAGGTGGACACTAAAGAGTTGGAGGAGATGAGAGAAAAAGAGGGACAGAGCCATCAAGGGGTGGATACTCGGGACCTGGTACAAGTGATGAAGGGGTTAAATGTATCGGGGGGGGGGGAAACCGGTGGAAATTTGGCGG